CCCGAACACCTCGTTTTTCAGATGGTCCAGATAACATACATGTAACCCACCATAGCAACGGAGGTGGGAACTTGCTTCTCTTGCTTCTCAAAATGTCTTCATCTGCGCTGGATAGTATTATTATCATTTGGGTTCCTAGTGGAACACAGGGCTTCAGCAGCACGTCGCCATCCCACTCTGTTCTCTGCAAACTTCTGAACCCGCCTCCATGACAGCCCAGAAGCTCTTATTTATTGCTCACACGATCCTATGCATGTCATCCTCACCAAGGACTCTCAATTCGCCGCTTACCTCCTGAGTTCCACTAGAGTACCTGACGCGTGATGTCCCCGAATGGTCCTCTCAGTGCATGCCCAATCCATCCCCACTCCCTTCTGCATATCTGTTGAGCGACGGGTTCTTGGTTGGTTCGTTGACAGAGTTCCTTGTTGCTCATTCCTTCTGGCCACCTGAGCTTCAGGTACGAGCCAGCGAAGGCAGCAGCTGTTGATGAACGTCTGCAGTTTGTTGGAAATGCTTTGAGCCAAGTAGCAGCACTGGCTTGACATTGGTGTTGAAAATCCTGATCTTGTCCTTGATGCCGAGTACAGCTCAGCAGATCTCCAAAATGGTTTCATGTTAATGAAAGCCTGCCTTGCTGTCTTTCCGACATTGGCTTTGACGTCCTCGTCTGTGCCGCCTGTAGTTGAAACAGCGCTGCCTAGATAGGTGGGTAAAAGAGACTATATCGTTGAGGCTTCTTCCGTTGATAGTGAGGTATTTGCCGTCGATGTTGTTATTCGTTGGGTACATTAATCATTGCCACCTTTGTCTTCTCTACTTTCACCTGGAGTCCCGTCTTCACTGCTCTGCTTCTTCTGCCAACTTGTTGGTTTTCGCTTGTAGATCTTCGAGTTTCTGTGACATTAGACATAAATGATCATCAGCGAAATCCAAATCTTCTAGGGTCTTTCCATCAGTCCAGCGTATCCCCCTCTTCTCACTCCTCACGGTTTGCTGCGTGATCCAGTCCAGTCCACTCGACTACAATCAGGAAGATTATGGGTGATAGTAGGCGACCTTGTCTTACTCCTGCCTTCACTTCAAAGGCATCACTGGGCTTTCCGTCGTCAATCACTTGGCATGTGACGTCGTCATATGGCTGCTAAATGAGGTTGACAAAGATTTGTGGCACTCCGTAGTGTTGAAGCAGTCTCCAAATTACTTCTCAGTCGACGCCGTCGAAGGCTTTTTCGAGGTCAATGAAGTTGAGGTAGAGAGTTGACTGCCATTCTATGCTCTGCTCTATGATGATGTGTAGCGTAGCATTGCAATTTTGTCCGCACATGATTTGTTCTCCCTGAATCCAGCCTGTTCCAGTCGTAATTTTGAATCCAGAGCATCCTTTAGTCTCTCCAGGATGATGCGGCCCAATATTTTGCTTGGCGTGGATAGGAGCATGATTCTGCGCTAGTTCTTGCAAAGACAGGTCACCCTTTTTTGGGGGGAGGTTTGACAAGGTAGCCCTTCTTCCAATCTGCAGGTACCTTTCCTTCCTTCCAAACCCTCTGTATCAATGGTGTGAGCATGTCCGCTGTTGTTTCTGAGTCTGTTTTCAGTGGTTTTGGAGGAAATCCATCTGGTCCTGCTGCTTTCCTGGATTTCAGCAGTTTTATGGCGTTCAGGATATCGAATTTTGTCGGAGGGCTTGTGTTCACTGGTAGTTCTGTAGCTTGGCTGCTGGTGGTATTTCTTTACGAAGTGCAGGTGGTGGTCGATTCAAGAGGTTTTTGAAGTGGTCAGCTCATCCTTTCCGTTGTTTCCCTTCTTTGGTGATTAAATTTCCTTCACTGTCTCCCATTGTTTTCATCTGTGTTGATCTCTTCCCTAACAGAGAGTAACCTGGTTATCTGATATAATGTCAGGTCTCTGTCTCTCCTACCTGCAGCCTGTTCTGCTTCACTTGCCAGTGTGTTGTAGAAGTGTCTTTTGTCTTTGTGTGCACTCTTTTTCACTTCTTTATCCAGTGTTTTATAGGTTGTACTCGGTTTGTCTTTTCGTTATGCATCCTTGCACTGGTCCATCTTCTGCTTCACCATCTTCCTTTCTTCTATCAGCTTCCATGTATCCGTGGAGATCCACTCCTTGTCTTGCCACTTCTTCTTCCTTCCTAACACGGTTATGCAGGTTTCTTTCCACATCTCTTTCAAAGAGTTCCAGTGTTCTTCCACGCCCGATCCTTCAGGGATGTTGCTCAATGTCTCCGATTTTGTTCTGATGGCTGACGTGAAGATGTCCTTTGCAGTTTTGTCCTTCAGTTTCTGGGTGTTGAACTTGAACTGTGGTCTATCACCAACTTGTGTGAAGGCTTTCAACTTGATTTTGAAGGTGCATTGCATTGAGTGGTGTGAACCTACATCTGCTCCTCTTCTTGACATGATCTTGCATCTAGTAGGCCGCGTCTCCACTTTCTTGAGATTGGAATGAAGTCAATCTGATTTTAAGAGTGTCTATCTGGTGGGATCGATGTCGCTTTGTGAATATCCTTGTGGTTGAACACAGTGCCTCCAATCACCAGATCGTTGAATGCGCAGAATTCTGCAAACAATTCTGCATTCTCGTTCATTTCACTGAGCGCTTCTCGGCCTACGATCATTTCTCTTCCTGTGTTTTCTCCTCCCAGTTAGGCATTCATATTGCCCATTAGAACTTTGATGTCGCCATCTGGAGTGGGGTCTTGTCGAGTGCTGATTGCAGTTGTCTGTGGAATTCCTCCTTCTCCCAATGATCTGCGTTACTTGTAGGTGCGTATCATTGTACGATTGTAACTTTCTTTCTTTTGATTTGAATCTTGCTGTCATGATTCTGATGCTGGAAAAGACTGGTTCCCACTGCATTAGAGCCTTTGATACTCTTGAAGACATCAAGATAGCCACTCCATAATTTCGTGTTTGTTGCAATGATGAAATTGTCTAATTACTGTGCGCTGGACAGTTTGTAGGGTCTAGTTCTTTTCCATCTGCTTTTGCAGATTCTCAGATCTTCTATGTCACACTTTGTCGTCTCTCTTGTAATCTTGGCAGCGTTGCCAGTTTGAAGCGTAGCGCAGCTACTCCATATCCCATGTTCACTTTTGCTTTCGTCAAGGGAAGAGACATTGGGCAATTGGCTTCACCAACCGACGTCACTTCTTTTCCTAGATTCAAGCTAGGAATACGTTTGTTTTTATTTTTTAAGTTTTGTGTGTGTTTTGAAGTTACTGTAGCGGTTAGATTGGTTTTCCGGGGTAGGGTTTGTGGCCGTATGCAAAACTTTCCCCATATACCGTGACTTAGGATCGGCTAGTAACTAATGGACTAGTTAACGAGGCTTGGTTTCACTCGATAGTGCTTGCTACTTATCTGTCTGTAAAAGTACCCACCTTCCTCCTGCTCCTAGATCGGGAGTAATTGCACCTTCCCATTAATCTCATGTCGGCGATATCCAGGAAGGTGCGGATGGTCGTCGTAGCGTCGTAGACTACCCATTCTATAACAACCCACTACTGACTCAGCAGTATTGGTTTCTTAAAGGAGATCCTGTGATATTTGGAAGCTAGATTATCTTGAATCCATCACTCGAAAGACTGATCGGGAATTTTTTGTTGCTACAAAGGTCTTTGACTTCAGTGAGGCGTTTGAAAAAGTTCCCCATCAGAAACTGCTTTGTGAGGCTGAGGTCATTGAAGTTGGCAGGCCCCCTGTATAACTGGTTCGAGTCATCTCTTAATGAACGTCCCCGAAGAATTGAATTAAACGCTTACTTTTCATGCCCTCGACCTCTCTGTTGAGCAGTTGTGGAAAAGTCACCCATGAGACTACTTAGACATCTTACAAAGTGATTGAATGGTCTATCACACTGTATCTCCTCACCAGCTTGAAAATATTCACCACTGTAGCGTCACACACTTCCCCAAAATCAATAGCCTAGGGTTTGACGACTTTCGACATCGATGCTGACCTTGATAGTTTAACTGGACTCGCTAAGCTGAAGGCACCCGGTCAAGCATCCTCGCCATTTGGCACGCTGTCGTGTTACATTGCACTGCTCGTATTCGACTCTGTAGCCAGTTAGTTGGAACGCATCGGCATCTCGGCCAGAACTTGCAAGTATACTATTCCATCCGACTACGCTATCGTGTTCTTCCTTGGTCTCGTATTCGTGGGTATATAACAAGTTCGAATAATTAGTGATTGGTCTTTGCGTCTGTCAAGTTCGCACCAGGACAAATCCTTAACCACCATAAGACCTCAGAAATCACACATTTATGTTATCGATGGACAGATGCAGTCGAATATGGATTCTTCACCAAATACTACATCTTAATTTGGAATTGGCTCCCCTTATCCGTGCGTAGCGGCACTTCTGCGTGGTAGGTTAGGACGTAACAGTCAGTGGAAATGGTTATCATCAGAAGTCCTTTGGGTGATAACACCTACCGGTTACTCACTAATTAAAATCCCATGGCAACTGTGATAGAAACACCTTTCATAAGAAACGTGATGCTTACCACCTTTAGACGAATTTCCGGACAGTCCAATCGTGGATGTTTTTTCGCCAAATTTTCGACAGGTTCACACGACCTCACCTGGAGTTCGGGAATATCGTATTTCCCCGGCCTCTGAATCCAGCGGCGCTGGATCGAATCTCTCCGAAGACACAGGTCTTGAACATATGACGAAGAGCTGCTCGGGCTTAGTCCATAAACCATGGAATATAGAAGACTAAGATGAAACCTGATAATAGACCACAACCATTTGAACTATTTGAACCATTAGAGGCTGTTTTAACATTGAGTTTTACCTCTAAATTACTGCATGAAAGGACTAATTCACACATTACTAGCAAAACTAAAGTAATACACCAGCTTTCCAAATGAGCATATCGAAATACATTTAGATTTCTTTTGTTTCACTAGTTTGACATTCAACATTGAATGTGGTTATAATCGTAAGGGCGCCTAGCTTAAGGCTTGGTCCCTAATGGCCAGTAGCAGCTGTCCATCCACCGAAACGAAGTTTATTTACTACATAGATGAAGAAGAAACGCCTTACCTCGTGAAGCTCAATATCGCGCCGGAAAAAGTTACTTTGGGGGACTTTAAAAATGCCTTGAATCGTCCACATTCAAAGTTTTTCTTCAAATCTATCGATGACGACTTTGGGTTAGTTATTTGCAAAACGAGTGTTTGATTTCCTTTGTTTTTTCTGGCATATATATTTTGGTAGCTTTGGTCTCATGTTCCATCGTTGATGGAACTCGCCTAACTTACTGTTAAGCCTGCATGTGACTGGATGGCATTAGTAGAAGTCGTCTGCTTAGCTAAATGGACGTTTATTTACATTCTTCAAGTACCGGTACGTATGTGTTAGAAACAAATAGTTGTTTTTCAAAGTTTTATTTAAAACAGGTTCATTCGAGAGCTTGTTGCGCCGATTGCTTGACTGACGAATCAGGTAGCAAGTTTTGGTCAGCAATCATCAAAGTAATGATGGGTAAGAAAAAAGTCACTGAGATTATCGTACACAAAAGCTTTGCCGTCGGTCTAGGTGTCAGGATTAAGATATCGCCTATTCGTATGGTCATTAGACATGTGAATGAGTGAACAGATTGTTCGGTAGAGGTATATCACATTCTCAGATAAACTGTATCTTATAATCAGGTTATTCATATTTATAAATGCTTGATTGTCACTATCCTGAAAATACGCCAATTTTATGGTTAGGTCACCACTGGTGACCTTAAGTTTTGAAAGAATCAAAAATACTTTTATGGTCTACTTTTTATCGTTTGCTAAAGTGAAACCGTGCTTAGTTATAAACATATGCTAGCCTTCTTGTACTTAATATGTATCTTTCCTATCAATTAACTAGAGGAAAGTTGGAGGGCATAGACAGAGGAAAGTAAATACAACCACATTTCTAAACCCAAAGCTTTGCTTTCTTTCGTCTGATTGCTCTTAGTTACTTAACGCATACTTATTTGATCCCACTTTTGATGTGATGTTTTTTCCGAATTCTCGTGGTCATTGAGTATGTGGTTCATTGGTTTAGGTACTTGAAGTTCAGTGGGTTGCCGGTTCAGACCCCCGCTTCATCCACTTTGATCCTCACATGCATAGCTCATTCTAACGAAGACATGTACTGGAGTGAGCTTGAATAAATACTGTGGTATATTTTCCGATGCACATGCTATGCGGAGATTGTGTTTCAAACGTAAGATAATCCATTTGTTTGAACGAAGCTTTTGTAAAAAACAGTTTACTGTCTTATGAATAATATTTTTAATCTGTCGGTACTCGCTGTCACTAATTTAAATATTTTTTTTAGTGTTGTTAAAGAAGAAATATTCGAAGACAACACCCCACTTCCTTGTTTTAATGGCCGTGTAATTTCTTGGGTATGTAATTATTATATTAACATTTGGCTGAATTTTGAGGTACTTATTTCATGGGAAATATTTTTAGTGTGACCTAGAAGCTTTAAATGCCACAAAGTATGATTTAAGTATACTGTGATCAAGATTTGACCGAATAGTATGGCAAATATTGGGTGCTGAGTAAAAAGTTGACACTAGATGTAGATTGTATTTGTGTAAGTCACATCGTGTTTGAAATCAAATAATTCCAACGTTTCGCATGAAAGTCTGGTCCGAGTTTCTCCAGGGAAATAATCAAAATTAAAATATCAAGGATATAGTAAATCCAAAAACGTGTATTTAATCTCCTTGTCCAATCGTCTTTGTATAGTCATTGTCCTAAAATATAACTAATCATTCAATGTGAAATTGTCTCGTATGACATATATATATATATATATATATATATATATATATATATATATATATATATATATTTCAATTCATGTTCATCCTTGATTGTAAATATCAGACAAGAAGGTCACAGGTGACAACACTCGATAGTTTTATGAGTATAATGGAATGGATGAGGCGGATATGTTTGCCATCTCAGTTGGAATATGATGGTGAATATTAACGAATTTTTTCTCATTGATTTACCGAAAGAGTGAAAATGAATGGTAGTAGTGATAATGATGGTGATGATGATGATAGTAATAATAAATCAAATCAATCCAGATTGTATCGTTGATGCAAAAGTAATGAAGTTGAGGCTGGTGTTGACGGCAAATGCTTCGAGTCACTCTTTCTGCTTACTAATTAGTAATTGCCAAGAGGCAGCTAACTGTACCCCATCTCGTCTGTTCAAACTGTCTGGATTCGCCCATAAATGTTGGGCTTTGACTGTCAATCTTTCTTGGTATGACCCCAAACCTTTTTGTAGAATCTTGGTCCGGGAATCTGCTTTAAGTATAGTTTATGCTCGTTCACTCACGCATTTACCTACTCGGCCGTATCCCCTACACAGTACCGCAGTACCTTTTGCATATTGGATTTCATAAACGCAGTTCTGTTGATTTCCTTTCGGTACTACATCTTTAACCTTCATTAAGTTAGCGTGTTACCCGAAAGTAAACTCTTATGTCATGTTTGTTGAGAATCCTCTTTTATTCTTTTGAGGTCTCCTTATGGTTTGGGATTACGATCGTACTTATCCAATCTTTTGGGACCAGTTTCGGTACATCCTTAATTTCATTTACAAAACTTTTCTTAACGAAATCTCTGAGATAGTTGTATGCATCTAGTGTGCGGCAGACTAACTTTAAATCTTCATCTTTATCCTCTTTCGTTGTAACAATTTGGTGTAAGTTCATGATTCGGTTTCCTGTAGTGCATTTCACCCACATTGTTGCAACATTCCCAACTCATGAAACAGGAAGTAGTCTGTCAGCAGATCCTCTTTTCATCGGTGACGCTAAACGGAAACTTTAGTGGCAGATTAATATCCCTCTTACAAGTTTACTTTTAACTCCCATACCTGTAGATCAAAAAAGGAACTCCACACACATTTCTTTGATCCACATTCCCAGTTTAGTTTACGGTTAGTTCTTAAACCGAGAGGAGTATTTGTGATCACGTCTCTTAGGCTACTAGTGAGGTATCCGTATCTCACCCCTACAATCTTGATAGTCGCACAAATTCCAGATTTTCCTTGTAATATCAACTAGAGAAAATATCGGAGCCTCTAACCATCGGAATTAAGCCCTCTCGCTTCTGACTGATCATTTTGAGGTCGTTTGATAGTCACTAGGACAGCAGGATGATTCTCTCCTTCCTAAAAGTGTGAAATTTCAATGCATCCTACCAACCTGTATTTACTGTCAGTTTAGCGTTCCAACCGCCCTTAGTTGAGGCAGAAATGGCGGTCACTCATCAAGTCACTAGACCTTCAAGGACATAGGTCGTTGTTTCAGACCTGATTCCCCTAATCAGGGTATGATGCGTATTGTCATAAGTTCCCTCTCACCCTAATGTGGCTTATTCTGAATGATGGACTGGGATATGGTTGCTCGTATGCATTCATTCATAGCGACGACCGGTGGACCAGTGGCCGACATTTACTCCATCAGTCAGTAGTTAGCAGTACTATCTGTAAATCCGACTAGAGGTAGTAAATAATAATAATAATAATAATAATAATAATAATAATAATAATAATAATAATAATCAAAGTCAACATAAGACCAGACATTACAGCACAACGGTCCAAGTTGCCACTCCTCACATCAGCACATCAGATGACAAAACAATAAAATGAAAGATGACGAGAGAAAACAATCGGTCATAAGTGATAGAAAATAGCAAGAGAAAGGAAAGAGGAATGAGGAAATGGCGATACCAGGCAGAGCGGTTAAGATGATGATAATGTGTATATAGCTCAGCACCATCGGTTCCGAGCCATATATCTTTTGTCCCCCTGAACCCAATCGACTAGTATACATCGCCCTAGATGTCACCGACGGACAGTTAAGAACTTCATGCATTCATGCCATGTTTTAGTCTGGCTGACCCAATCTTTTTTCCAGCCTGAACCTACTTCGGTCAACATTGTGCGACGAAGCAGACGGTGGCTGGGCATACGTAAAACATATCCCAGCTTTGTCAGTCGATGAAGGTTCACTGTTCTTCATCCTTCACCTCACTACCTTTTTACTTGATGTGCTGATATGAGGTGTGGCAACTCGGACCGTTACGCAGTAATGCCTGGTCCTATGTTGATAATGATGATGATGAAGGTTCACTGTCGTGTCGACTAACCTACCTCTTCTCTCTAAAACTCTACACCTAACTTCTGCGTTACTCACGTGGTGACACCACGAAGTACGGTCTATACTACGAAGGCAACGGTGGTCAAACACCTGAAGCCTTTTTATATCTTCCACCTTCAATGGCCATGTTTCACAGCCATACAGTTGAACAGAGTGGACTACAGCACATTACACTCGACCCTTCATAGACAGTCGGATATCGCGGCGGCGCTACAGAAGGCACAAGTTGGTAAAAGCCAACCGAGGCTTTTGTATCCGTGCAGAGATTTCATCGGCCACTGAGCCACCAGGGCTTATCCGACTTTCCAGGTAAGTGAAGTTCTCAACGCACTCAACCACTTCACTGTCTATTGTTAGCTGTCGCACTGTTGAAAACCAATCCTGGAGCAACAATTTGCATTTGGGTGGTGAGAAACGCATCCCAAACATTCTCGAATTGCCACTCAAAGTGTCCAGAAGACACTGCATCTTGTCAGCGTCTTCTACCAAGAAAACGATGTCATCTGCGTACTCTAAGTCTACCAAACATTCTGGTGTGATTGGGTCAACTCTTGAGTAGTCAGATGACGAGAGTGAGACCTCCATAAGAACACCTGTGACATAATTGAATAGGAATGGAGAGTGGGCATCCTGGAGGGACACTACCTGATGATCACAGCTCCCCGGATATCTCACCATAGTCTCTAACATGCCCATAGGTGTTCGAATGAAGGGCCTTCAATAGTGATGTACTTACTTGGTATTTCTTTCAGTGAGAGATATTGCCATAAAACTTCTTGATCGACGGAGTCGAATGCCTCCTTCAGGTCGAGAAATACAGCTATTGTCAGGCGTTGATAAACGTACCTGCGTTCCAAAAGGTGGCGCTGTCTGAATATTTGGTTGATATACGCGCGACCGGGTCTGAATCCTGCCTGGTTTTCTCGGGTTTGCTGTTCGAAAGCTCCATTCAGGTGTCGAAGAAATATAAAACCTAGAATTTTAGATCCTGTGTCAGGCTGGTTCCTCTGTGATTATCACAATAGGACTTTTCGCCTTTCTTGTAGACCCGGACAGTCAGTGATTGAGACTAGTCATGTTTGACCGCTATATACTGGTTAACAGCAGTTAATCTGACCAATAAACTTCTGCCATTATTTTTAAATACACCCGATACTAGTACGTCTGGCCCTGCTTCCTTTCCTCGTTGGAGATTATTTACAGCCTTTTCGACTTCTATATTTGTTAAGGGTATTATCTCGATGTTCCATTCTGGAGTCGACTGGATAGCGGACAATGTAATAGTAGCTCGAGGCCAGTTGAATTGCTCCTCAAGGTGTTCTGCCTATTGCTCCAGTCATCTCCCCTGTGAACGAATCTCAGACCCATCCTCCGCTATAGTCTCACTAACCGTTTACCTTTCACCCCAGTTTCATTAATAAGTTTAAATAATTGTCTTCTGTTACCTACCGCCGCTGCCTTTGCCATCTTTTTAGACTTCGCCACCCACCACTGTTCGTGGTCGTTGCGTAGACTTTTTGTCAGTTTACATTTGAGTTGTGTTCGTGTGCATTCATTAATTCAGAAGCTGCCGATATCCACTGGTTATTTTTAAAAACTCTCTGAGAGTCGGCTACGGTCATCAACGTTGTTTTTACAGCAGATTGGAGATGGCACCAAGCTACTTTTAAATGAGTAATGGTGTTCCGTTCTGTTCCGATAACTGTCTACCCAGTTTCTCACTGAGGGCGACCTTAGTGTTTTCATTGTCGAGCTGCACTCGTAATGGTCTTGTTGTTGAAGTTTTTGTACATCCATTTAGGAGCAGGCATAAACGTAATTATAAACGATGCGTGGTTGGTGACCAAACACGTACTCCAGAAGGAGCGGCAGTCTTCCATCGACTTTCTCTAGCGATGACTGAAAGTAGTGTTGTCTATCTGTCAATCTGTGTTCATTGTGGAGTTGAAGTTGGTGGGTACCACGTCAGACAATGTCTTTCTTTGTGTCTGAAGTTTGTGCTAGCTAGAAATAAACTGTTATCTGACCATAGGTATAGTAGACGATCACAGTTACCCGTTCGTTCAGCCGGAATTTCAAAGTGCACCTACGTGCGCTTCTCCCTGACTCAGCCAACCCACTTGTGCATTAAAATCACTTGCAACCACAACCACATCTAAATGTTTGGCTTTCAAAGGGAGGCTAGACAGTTTTCGGTAGTACTCGTTCCTCAGTTCATCCGAACTGCAGTCAGTAGGTGCGTAAGCAGAGAATGCAATGAGAAAACGACCAGTTTGACTGTGCCATGCAGGCGGATAGTGGTTAGGTGACTGTTTACTGGGACCCAATCTAGTATTGAGCTTTCTTCCCTTGTGCTTAATCCTATGCCTACTCCTGCGAGATCGCAATAACTAACCTTTGAATCTTCAGAAACTCAAAAGGTGGATTTTGCGGATTCACCTTATTGACCGCGAGAGATTATGTGAATAATCGCACTTGGGTCCTGTATGCATACCTCACAAACACAGCGTAAATCCACGACCTGAATTGTTTGAGTTTTTACCAGTGAAGCTTGTTAGCCAATTTGTCGTGGGGTGTGAACATTGAAGGCTCCAATGTGTAATTTGGAGCATGGTTTAAGGAGATCAAGGATGCTGTTTTGTAGACTCAGATCGTTGTCGAAAGCTGCAGAGCTAAAAGAAATTAAATGTGGTACAGGATTGTTAACTGAGAAACATGAAGGAAGATTAGAAAGTAAGGAAAAGATAGATGGATGCTGGTCTGAGAGAATTGGGTGCAGACAGAGTTGTGAGGGCGGTTGAAACTTCCCGGCTACCCACACCGTGGAAGACTAGGTCTTCGTGAAGTACCTGAAAAAGAAGGGTTAGCGCGTGACTGCCGAACCTAGAGGACATCTGCTTGAGACTGGTCACTTACCACCTTTTTGATGCCACGACAATTGGCCTGTATTATGGAAAATGTAGTTGAACATACGTCCAATGGTTTTGGATCACCAGTGGCCACTGATAACTGATCTAAGCCACCATAAGGCATCATCTCTTTGTTTAAGAAAACATGTTATGAGTAAGGGTAACTTCTTTTTGTCTAAACACTATCCAACAAACCTTTCTGGTATGATGGGACCTCGAGGAACAAGTCTTCCACCAGCATAGCTCGTTGTCATCGCCATATACAAGCCGACCATCACGTCAAGGCAGCAGTTGTCGATCGGCAGGCAGTAAATGAGGATGCATGTTGTTACTGAGTTGCATCTAGTTGTTTTGTTATTCAAAATCTGATAGAAGTACTCTTTAGTCGCATTCTTAGCAACATGGCATGCGGTGCTTTTGGAGTATCTAAAGGTACTTATGCACCACTTTTCCGCTAACCGAAATGTTTTCATACGGCGTCAGCTGACAGTCATTGTCAGTAGGATTATCTACCTTTTTTTACAGGTCCTTTGTTAAAGGCGTGCAAGAACGACAGACACTGTTATCGATGACGTCAGACGTTTGCTTGTCTACCCGGCTCATCTTTGTGTATTATGTTAGGATCCAGACAATATGTCATGGTTCACAATACTACCCCGATTGTTGATGCCAGAGTAGATGGATTTCTCGAGTTAGTTCTTGAGTTACGGGTCAAAGGATTTGGGACTCTGTGTTCATTAGACTGATTTCCTTTGAGTTGTGCTAGAAGGATTTCCTTTTTTCATGGGGTTGGATAGTCAGTTGTTGATATTAGTCAGAGACGATCATATCGGATTTCCATGCACCACCTGCCAATTCAGCCAGTCTGGCTAGTAATTCTTGACTGTTGTCGTCAAGTTTCTCTGCCTTAAGTTCATTGTGACCTGCTCTCCCTCATTTTGTGTAGCAGCCTCGTATGCTTCAGTTAGATTCGGAGACTTGTTTCCTCCGAACTGCGACTAAATAGTGGGCAACTGGTGAGGCTTCTTCGACACATGAAGAATAAAGCACCACTGCTTTCTTTCATACCTGCTTTCTCTTGTTAACTGTTGATAAAACAAAATTTATGTCACTTTACTTAATATATGCAGCTCACTACCCAGTGTGTAAGTTGATAGGTGGATGAAATCACATAGAGCTTTGAACGATCCTATAACCAGTTAACTACAACCTTTCGTTACAACATGAATCAGGACAAAACGTGAATAGTTTGAAGGTAAACTGAAGGAATAGCATGATTTGAAATAATCGAAGTTGTTGCCTTTCTACTAGTTCACCTTTTCTAATAACATGACTTTAGTTTTATTATCCTACGGTCTGACTGTTTTCCTACTTCTCTTTTAGTTGGTCACTGCTGATGAAAGCATAGCTTCTGATTCAGGAGTTCTTGGCCCTTCCACCGAAGCAAGCAACATTGTAATTAATAGCAAAAACACACCAGCTCCTGATTCAGAGTCTAGTGATACTCGGTAAGTTAACGGTGCTACATAAATAATTAGTCAGCAGTATAGTACTAACTGTTCAGTTCATATCTCATGTCTTTTAGCAACATAAGTTTCTACGGTGTGCCAGACGAAAAGCACAAAGTGCTGTACGCTTCCAGTAGTATACAAAACGCAATGAAACATAATCTACTCTCCTCCTTTGCCTCTTGCCACTTCTTCAACCTCTTACCCTGCGACCATTGCCAACGGTCAAAGCCAGCAAAACGCCACTGATAGTCTTCTGAAACCATGCTGCCGATTTCAAATCAGAGCTCTCAACGTCAAACCCTATGCCAAACAAGATATGGCGTCTCTTGCGGAAATTGAGTAGAACCGGGCGACATACTTGTTGCGTTTTTCAGATAAGTATACAGTACCCAAGTGTAGTTATTCATTTGACGTCGCCTATCTAGTGCGGTGAATCTTCCAAATCTACTCTTCGCATATCCGTAGTTCAATAGCTGTGTTTCATCTACTAGCTGCTATGGATGCAGAACTAAGTTGTAGGGCAGTTACCTCACTCAAAAGCCGTTTGTGCGCTGTCCTACTTAGTGGATCTTTAAGAACGTGGAAGGTTTGTGAAACTAGCTACTGCCTATTCATCATCTCCACCTACACGGCCACTGACTACAGCTCGGATGATACACAATATTAATTCTATCGACAACTCAATTTTGCTACATAAAGCAAAACATTCAGATATGATCATAATAGTAGGCGACTTCAATGCACAAGTAAGAAGCTCAGTCAATCAGAAATACATCTTGCAGCTATCTACGATATTGCCTACCAAGGAGATGGATGTAAACACCAAGATTGTGTAATATCAGACTGTATTAAGGGAACTGTTTAGTAAGATCATCACCGAAAAGGATGGGTCCGAGATAACTTCTTAAGACAAACGGCTACAATGTTGAGCGCGAGACTTTAAAGAACTATCCAAATGGCCTACAGTCACGCTTCAGTTCCCCGTCACCAAATCCGAACCCCAATTGGACGTAGATGTCGGTCCTCCAACTCTCCTCGAAGCTGAGAAGGCTGTTTCTAACACGAAACGATCCAAAGCAGCACTACCTAACCACCACCACTTCACAAAGTAGGAGTCAAGTAAAGGAGGTACTTGGTAGCGTATGGGAGCCACAGGTTACCACATCAGACTAATCTAGACGGTTAATTATTCCCGTCTACAAGTCCTACTGTTACAAACAAAATGGGAAGAGTTCGTCTAGCACCGTCGCCAAGATCATGGGGTCCATGTTTATAACACGTCTATTAGGAAGTCATGGACAGAAAACTCAGGATAACCAGGTAATTTTTTCAGTCCTGAACAAGACTGCATCGATCAGATCTTCAACAGGGATACTTACCAGAGCCTCCCATCCACACCTGCCATATTTCTTGACCAGAAGATAATACTTGACTCTGTCGACCGAGACGTGTTGTGATAGCGTTTGCCTGTGAAAGGAGCACTGAACACTTATGCAACACTAGTCAAAGCTCACTACTCGAACCCACATGGTCAAGTGAGTGTTTATGGAGAGTTGTCATCCGAACCGACGGCCACCAGTGGTGTCTGCAAGCAATGCCCGTTGTTACCATTCCTGCTTAACTTCACCACGAATGTATTGATGGAAATAACTCTAGGTACGCCTGACTTCAAAGCGAATGATTTACTCCTAGCAGAGCACCTGGTTAGCTGACAGTACGCACACGTCGTCCTGCTAGGCGACGCCATCGACAAAGTGCAGACCCTTTTGAACGCCTTCAGCAGAAATCTAAGTATGCCGGGCATGCATTTCGTACTTGTCAAATGTGGGATGATGCTGCAGAACTTGTGTGAAATTACTCCCAGTTGAAGGATGGGAAGTGACTCGGTAGAATGAATTGACTACTTCACTTGCTTGTATTGGTTGCTGACGAAATCTCAGGTCAGATACAAAAGACCCGTCTGACATTGACCAACTTGCGTCATCTCTGGTGCTGACTGGCGAGATATCCAACTATCTAATAAAGGATAAGTATACTATGCTGCAGTTCATGGGTTTAGGGAGTTGACTGTTAAACAGTGGGTCCTAGGTTGAAACACCGCTCTGCCTACGGAGGTTTGGGTAGCCAGGTAGTATCATCAACCCTGAAACAATACATGTAGCTCATTGCTTAGTGCACGAATGTGCACAAGACTACCAATGGGATTTCGTTTCAATTTTAATTGTTACCGCTATGATTGTTCTCTTTTTTGTTTCTTTTCCATCTTGATGGATTCTCTCTTGGTTTCATGTCAAGTGATGTATCAACTTGGGGCGCTTCGGAGTGTTAACATTGTCTGCCTGTCCTTTTTGAATTTTGAAACTTTTCCCTTTGATTTACTGAGATTTTATTGCTAGTTCTCGTAGTCTTGCAGGTGTGGGTATAGCATTTAGTGTTTATTCAGGAAGAGCTCTAACCTGCTGTATCCCAGTTGTTAATCAATGAGCTGTTCGGATGAACAGCACAGTGAGGACTGAAAAAGTGGTGAGATTCATCTTTTTTTATTAATAATCTCTGCTTACGCACCTACTGACTGCAGTTCGGATGAACTGAGGAACGAGTACTACGAAAACTGTCTAGCCTCCCTTTGAAAGCCAAACATTTAGATGTGGTTGTGGTTGCAAGTGATTTTAATGCACAAGTGGGTTGGCTGAGTCAGGGAGAAGCGCACGTAGGTGCACTTTGAAATTCCGGCTGAACGAACGGGTAACTGTGATCGTCTACTATACCTATGGTCAGATAACAGTTTATTTCTAGCTAGCACAAACTTCAGACACAAAGAAAGACATTGTCTGACGTGGTACCCACCAACTTCAACTCCACAATGAACACAGATTGACAGATAGACAACACTACTTTCAGTCATCGCTAGAGAAAGTCGATGGAAGACTGCCGCTCCTTCTGGAGTACGTGTTTGGTCACCAACCACGCATCGTTTATAATTACGTTTATGCCTGCTCCTAAATGGATGTACAAAAACTTCAACAACAAGACCATTACGAGTGCAGCTCGACAATGAAAACACTAAGGTCGCCCTCAGTGAGAAACTGGGTAGACAGTTATCGGAACAGAACGGAACACCATTACTCATTTAAAAGTAGCTTGGTGCCATCTCCAATCTGCTGTAAAAAACAACGTTGATGACCGTAGCCGACTCTCAGAGAGTTTTTAAAAATAACCAGTGGATATCGGCAGCTTCTGAATTAATGAATGCACACGAACACAACTCAAATGTAAACTGACAAAAAGTCTACGCAACGACCACGAACAGTGGTGGGTGGCGAAGTCTAAAAAGATGGCAAAGGCAGCGGCGGTAGGTAACAGAAGACAATTATTTAAACTTATTAATGAAACTGGGGTGAAAGGTAAACGGTTAGTGAGACTATAGCGGAGGATGGGTCTGAGATTCGTTCACAGGGGAGATGACTGGAGCAATAGGCAGAACACCTTGAGGAGCAATTCAAACTGGCCTCGAGCTACTATTACATTGTCCGCTATCAGTCGACTCCAGAATGGAACATCGAGATAATACCCTTAACAAATATAGAAGTCGAAAAGGCTGTAAATAATCTCCAACGAGGAAAGGAAGCAGGGCCAGACGTACTAGTATCGGGTGTATTTAAAAATAATGGCAGAAGTTTATTGGTCAGATTAACTGCTGTTAACCAGTATATAGCGGTCAAACATGACTAGTCTCAATCACTGACTGTCCGGGTCTACAAGAAAGGCGAAATGTTTTTATGTGTTGATTGAAAGGGAGGACGTTTTGTATGCGATTCTATTCTCTGTGGTTATGAGAGGTGCCGGTGAAACTCTTTAGAGGAGAGTGTAATGGAAGGGGCAGGTTTCAGACCTAGTCGTGCTTGTATCAGCTATATATTCGTAGTCCATTAGGTGTTGGAACACAGTGGTACTTACTGACGAGCGATACTGTGTTTATTGACTCTGAGGTAGGATTCCATTACGTTGAGAAAGATTTCATGGTAGTATCCTTTAGTGAACTGGGTGCGGAGTTATTATGTCACTCTATTGAAAGCTCTTCACTCGGACATCTATGCTGTGTTAGTGCCTGTGGTGAGTTGTATATACCGGGTATTTGTTGAGGATTTCCACTCCTTCCATTCCTTTTCAGCTTTGTCGTGAAGCTACCTATTGAAGTGTTCAAATTGTCGTCTGACTTCACAGTTGCTGATCTAATTACAGCGGAATCTTTGGTAGATTTAGATTACGCAGGTGACGTAGTCCTGTCGGTTTAATATGCTGACAAGATTATAGTCTGGACGCTGAGTGGTAATTTTAGCATTTTTGGATGTTTCTCACCACCCAAATGGAAATTGTTGCAAATTACACTAGAAAGCTTTCGGATACCTTTCCAAGAAAGTACGGTACAAATGCTATTCACAAGAGAATGTATTACGTTTGAGGAGCATGCTTATAGAAACAGACTGATGAAATTCTAGACAACACTGTCACCACAAGCTATCTCAGATTTTGTCTCGATAACTGCTGCCCTGCTGAAACAGTCTACATGAAATTTAACAGACTCCTCATCTCAAAAGTCTCCGAAAAGAAAAGGAAATGTTATATAAGACGAAAGATCACCCTGGCGTTAAAAGACTTACCTGCCTAATTAAGTCTGAAATGCAACGTTTGAATACTAGTTACAACCAGAAGTTTCTATCGTGTAAGAGCTCTTCCAATATATGGAAATTATTTAAAAAGCTTACTGGTATAAAACAAATGACAAAAGAAGCTTGTTCGAACGTCTGCGCGTTGAACAAGTCATTCATACGTCGGCTAGCTGATTTCATCCCTGCTGATGTCCAAAGTCAAATGGACAGCTGCTTTCCTGGTTTTAATACACATGATGTATTTAAATGTCTAAAATCCTTGAATCCATCCCATAGCTTAGGTCCTGAAAAATGTACAGGTATTTTATGTCATCCTCTTACAGATATCTTCAGTGCATCGTTTTTTAAAGCACAATACTCACTGCTTGAAAAGAGATCAAAATTGTACCTGTGACTGAGTCATCTGGATCCGATGTTACGTTTCGACCCATCGCTATAACCTCCCTCTTTTTGAAGACAATGAAGAAATTACTTCTTGTTACTGAACCTTCATCGGTGGTTTTCAGAGATCCAAAACCATATGCTTACAAAAACAGGAAAAGCACTTTAGGTACTGCCACTGTGTTGCATCATAATATTGTTTCTAGTCCAGACAAAGGTGTTAAGTACGTTCGTTATCCCTTTGGATTACTCATCCGACTGACTTTTTTCCTAGACCACTCTTGTTAACTCAGCTTGCCATAGCTCAATCTGAGCCGTGGGTTACAAAGTGGCTGTATTCTTATTTTTCTGAAAGAAAACAGTATACTGTCTATCAAGGAAGCGCTCGACTCCGTTGCTTACTGAAGTTGATGTGCTTCAAGTTACTGTACTTTCTCCTTTTCTGTTTTCGTTCTTTTGCACGATTTACCTTATTCTGTTGGAACTAATTTTATTAAGTATGCTGATGACCTGACGGTGTCTATTCCATTCAACTCTCACTTAGATTGGTCTAAATCAAATGGATTCTTGTCTGTAGTTGGCCAGTGGTCTCGCTCAAACGGTCTCAGGTTGAACCCTTCTAAATGTCAGGCTGTTAATTTTAGCCTCAGGCGTAAACAAGACTTGTGTGAGCTGCTTAAGTTTCATGACGTCTGATGCATTTATGGCATTTGTGCAGAAAGTAAATCGAGTGTTAACTATCCTGGGTTGAGTTTTACTACTGATCTTTGTTGGTCGTCTCATATCTTGTTAACTTGTAAAAAAATCTTTCGTTTTACGTATAACAGAAGAACTGAAGCTTTCTGGTATAACTCAACTTCAACTTCTACTTTTACAATTTATTAATTCCTGCATCTTACCTATTCTCTATTCTTCCCAGTTAATCTTTCCTGGTCTTCTAAAAAAAGATTATGTTATATTACGTAGGGCTTTGAAAGCCGTCAGCAGGTTTAGTGTGCCTCTGGTCTAACTGATTAACACTAGTTGACAGACAATTAAATTCTAGTACGCAACTAGCTACAGTAATTTTAACTGACACTAAGCATCCAACTTCACTCACAGCTCTTTCTTTGTATCTCCTCAGGGAGGACAAAAAGAAATTACATGAGACTATACGCTCGTACAGCTAAGTACAAGAGTTCGACTGTACCTTACCTAGTACATATTATGTGAGGAAAAAGTGCTAGAACAGAACTCACACATCAACTTTGTAACAGCCAATAATCCCATTTCAATGATTTAATTAACAATGTAAAGTGTTCTCGTTTTTAATATTCTTTACATTAATTAAATTTTGATGACACAATCCAAAATGTTGTAAAGGAGTATAAGCATACATATATTTTGTTGTTGTTGCAATATATCATGCTGAGAATTCCAAATTGTGCCACAAATTGTTTGAAATAAAGTGAATTATTATTATTATTATTATGCGCACTTTAAAGTTCCATCGTGTATGGTAAGTGTTTAGGGGTTACTACTCATACCTCTCGATGTCTATCATACAAGTGGTAGGTCAAACCGCTTCACACCAGGCACAAATTTAATGAAGATGAGCCTTCAAATGGAAGGTTTAGTCATAGAGCATCGTTACTAAAATGCTTTTATGAAGTGCATCTCCACGGAGAAAATATAATGTAAGAAGTAAACTACACATGAAAACTGTTCGGTGTGTTTATCATAACGTCAAAGTTTCCATTGGTACGTTGCCACGAGATCGGAGTAATTAGTTGAGATTTGTAGTGTACTTGTTTTGGTGTTCCTATTAGTGGTTAAAATTTCCGTAAGACGTTTTTACTTTGAAATATTATCTTTCATTTTCATCGACTTGAAGTATTCTGCATCATATTTGATCAGTATAAATTAGTTTTAAGTATGAAGATGTTTACGCCAAGTGGTTTTAGCATTCTGATTTTAGCCATGACTTTCAAAATATCTGCCTTTTTCTACCTGTAGTCGAAATTCGAATGAGTTGTCTAGAATTACTGGTTTAAAGGAAACTCTTTAAATGGCATCCTTTGATTAATTTCAACAACATGCTGTGAACTGTTACAACTCTTAGATTCCCAATAATATTTATTTATTACCCTACCAAGATTTATTCGATTGTTTTACTATTTAGATGATAATCATACCTTACTGAGTTTCTTTTGGAATTCTTTTTAGCGATAATGAATGCAAAAACAGTTCTTGTATACTTCAACCACACACCACTGCTGCACCAGCTGATTCGACTTCTGCAAACCTGGGACGTGGGGGAAAAATTGGACAAAGTTACGATACAGAAACAGAGTCTGTGCACAGTGCTAACCAAGGTTAGGTTTGGTGGGTACTTATTTTCGTCTTTGGCTTCAGTGACTAGTGTTTTCATCTGTAGATTCTTCTGTTTCATTGACGCAATCATTTGCTGCCATTAGTTCCCCGACCGCTAAAGTGATTAATATTCTGCTTAGTAAATATCATACAAACTCAACTACTGTGTCCAATAATTGCTATTCAGTATTATGGTATATCACTTATTTGTATCCTTAAAATCTTTGAATTAGTAATAATTGATGTATAAAGTGAGGTACCGACTACGTCATTGTTTGTAATCCTGACGATTATTAAGAAACGGAAAACAGCTATATCGCGACCAATTTAGGTAGTCATCTATAGAGAACAAGGAGGAATGAGGCAAAACTGAAATCCAGTATGTTGATTAGGATAGAGATAATTTGTGCATGCGCTGTTCTTGAAAAGAATTCTGAATCACATCACATATAATCTTCAACCGCTGGTTTTCGTTCCCCTGTGCACCTCATCCGCAAAACTTGCATTCCCCTAAATGGCGCAGACCAACAATAAAAGACTCCATCGCCTGGTACCACTTGTTATTGTGTCCACCCTGAGCCTTCTTTTAATCTTACTTTGGCTAACCTTTCACATCGCTATGGGTGTAGGCTTGGGATGTGCAACACATGTCTAAGCCATGTCAGTCGGTGAAAGTCCAGAACTTCATCAATTTGTCTACCTTGCCTAAAACCCTTCGCGTGACATTACCATGGCTAGAACAGTGATTCCACCATACGCGAGCAATTCTGTGAAGACCACTTCATATCTTCTACTTCCATTGGCCACGTCTGAGCTGTATAACGGGACACTGCGAAGAACAACAACGCAGTATACTCGTCCTTTATTAGATAGTTGGATATCTCGCCAGTCAGCACCAGAGATGACGCAAGTTGGTCAATGTCAGACGGGTCTTTTGTATCTGACCTGAGATTTCGTCAGCAACCAATACAAGCAAGTGAAGTAGTCAATTCATTCTACCGAGTCACTTCCCATCCTTCAACTGGGAGTAATTTCACACAAGTTCTGCAGCATCATCCCACATTTGACAAGTACGAAATGCATGCCCGGCATACTTAGATTTCTGCTGAAGGCGTTCAAAAGGGTCTGCACTTTGTCGATGGCGTCGCCTAGCAGGACGACGTGTGCGTACTGTCAGCTAACCAGGTGCTCTGCTAGGAGTAAATCATTCGCTTTGAAGTCAGGCGTACCTAGAGTTATTTCCATCAATACATTCGTGGTGAAGTTAAGCAGGAATGGTAACAACGGGCATTGCTTGCAGACACCACTGGTGGCCGTCGGTTCGGATGACAACTCTCCATAAACACTCACTTGACCATGTGGGTTCGAGTAGTGAGCTTTGACTAGTGTTGCATAAGTGTTCAGTGCTCCTTTCACAGGCAAACGCTATCACAACACGTCTCGGTCGACAGAGTCAAGCATTATCTTCTGGTCAAGAAATATGGCAGGTGTGGATGGGAGGCTCTGGTAAGTATCCCTGTTGAAGATCTGATCGATGCAGTCTTGTTCAGGACTGAAAAAATTACCTGGTTATCCTGAGTTTTCTGTCCATGACTTCCTAATAGACGTGTTATAAACATGGACCCCATGATCTTGGCGACGGTGCTAGACGAACTCTTCCCATTTTGTTTGTAACAGTAGGACTTGTAGACGGGAATAATTAACCGTCTAGATTAGTCTGATGTGGTAACCTGTGGCTCCCATACGCTACCAAGTACCTCCTTTACTTGACTCCTACTTTGTGAAGTGGTGGTGGTTAGGTAGTGCTGCTTTGGATCGTTTCGTGTTAGAAACAGCCTTCTCAGCTTCGAGGAGAGTTGGAGGACCGACATCTACGTCCAATTGGGGTTCGGATTTGGTGACGGGGAACTGAAGCGTGACTGTAGGCCATTTGGATAGTTCTTTAAAGTCTCGCGCTCAACATTGTAGCCGTTTGTCTTAAGAAGTTATCTCGGACCCATCCTTTTCGGTGATGATCTTACTAAACAGTTCCCTTAATACAGTCTGATATTACACAATCTTGGTGTTTACATCCATCTCCTTGGTAGGCAATATCGTAGATAGCTGCAAGATGTATTTCTGATTGACTGAGCTTCTTACTTGTGCATTGAAGTCGCCTACTATTATGATCATATCTGAATGTTTTGCTTTATGTAGCAAAATTGAGTTGTCGATAGAATTAATATTGTGTATCATCCGAGCTGTAGTCAGTGGCCGTGTAGGTGGAGATGATGAATAGGCAGTAGCTAGTTTCACAAACCTTCCACGTTCTTAAAGATCCACTAAGTAGGACAGCGCACAAACGGCTTTTGAGTGAGGTAACTGCCCTACAACTTAGTTCTGCATCCATAGCAGCTAGTAGATGAAACACAGCTATTGAACTACGGATATGCGAAGAGTAGATTTGGAAGATTCACCGCACTAGATAGGCGACGTCAAATGAATAACTACACTTGGGTACTGTATACTTATCTGAAAAACGCAACAAGTATGTCGCCCGGTTCTACTCAATTTCCGCAAGAGACGCCATATCTTGTTTGGCATAGGGTTTGACGTTGAGAGCTCTGATTTGAAATCGGCAGCATGGTTTCAGAAGACTATCAGTGGCGTTTTGCTGGCTTTGACCGTTGGCAATGGTCGCAGGGTAAGAGGTTGAAGAAGTGGCAAGAGGCAAAGGAGGAGAGTAGATTATGTTTCATTGCGTTTTGTATACTACTGGAAGCGTACAGCACTTTGTGCTTTTCGTCTGGCACACCGTAGAAACTTATGTTGCTAAAAGACATGAGATATGAACTGAACAGTTAGTACTATACTGCTGACTAATTATTTATGTAGCACCGTTAACTTACCGAGTATCACTAGACTCTGAATCAGGAGCTGGTGTGTTTTTGCTATTAATTACAATGTTGCTTGCTTCGGTGGAAGGGCCAAGAACTCCTGAATCAGAAGCTATGCTTTCATCAGCAGTGACCAACTAAAAGAGAAGTAGGAAAACAGTCAGACCGTAGGATAATAAAACTAAAGTCATGTTATTAGAAAAGGTGAACTAGTAGAAAGGCAACAACTTCGATTATTTCAAATCATGCTATTCCTTCAGTTTACCTTCAAACTATTCACGTTTTGTCCTGATTCATGTTGTAACGAAAGGTTGTAGTTTAACTGGTTATAGGATCGTTCAAAGCTCTATGTGATTTCATCCACCTATCAACTTACACACTGGGTAGTGAGCTGCATATATTAAGTAAAGTGACATAAATTTTGTTTTATCAACAGTTAACAAGAGAAAGCAGGTATGAAAGAAAGCAGTGGTGCTTTATTCTTCATGTGTCGAAGAAGCCTCACCAGTTGCCCACTATTTAGTCGCAGTTCGGAGGAAACAAGTCTCCGAATCTAACTGAAGCATACGAGGCTGCTACACAAAATGAGGGAGAGCAGGTCACAATGAACTTAAGGCAGAGAAACTTGACGACAACAGTCAAGAATTACTAGCCAGACTGGCTGAATTGGCAGGTGGTGCATGGAAATCCGATATGATCGTCTCTGACTAATATCAACAACTGACTATCCAACCCCGGACATTTCTAAGAGAGCGTTTTCCTGCTCTTGAGGTATGCGATATGCCGGGGGTCGCTTGTATTGGTTGGCTTGCCATTGGTGTTTCAGTCAAGCGGAAATTGGATTTCGCAGGTAGCCGTCATTGTCGTGTTGCTTTTAAGTTAATAACCACTTTCGAGTCCTGGATGATTGTGTCGGAAACGTAGTACACATCCATGGTTCGAACTGCCAGTTTTAACTGGGGATGCCTGTTGACTGAATAAATTTTGGGTGCAGACGTTGAAAGCTCGTTTGTGTTGTTTGAAGCATGGTGTCACTGGGCAGGGGGTGCTGTTCCATGAACGCTGATTTATTTCAAGAGCTGCAGGAAATTAAGATGATATATGATTATTGATGGTGAGACTTGTAGGAGGCTTAGAGGTTACGGATGTGGAAGCTGGGCAACACTGTGAGGGTTGTTTGGTGTTGACAGAGCTGTAAAGGCGATTGACATTTCCTGGCTATCCTCAGCTATGAAGATGTCATCCTAATAGACCTAATTATGAAGGATTAATGCGTAACCGCAAAGACCTAGGGTACAGCCTTTTTGAAGTTTGATGTTTCACTTGGCTTTTCTGGCATGGGATTATGAAATTAGGTTGCCGTCGGCGGTATGCTGCGGAGTAGACGGGAGTGTGCTACGTTTGAGACCGATTTTTTATTATCCTTCTTGCGGTAGGAAGACAGCATTAGGGTGACATTATTGGTCATCGGCGGGAAACAAATTACTTCCGTCATACTGTCTAGCTGGCAATACGGCTTCGCGCTCAGACCCCCATCATAGCATAGAAATTCACACTTTAACGGTGACTGCTTTTCATTTTACTATCAACGTACAGGTTTTTCTAGTATGATAACAGCTCAAGGAATAAGAGTTCCAGTCAGCGAACTCGTTATGTCATTGTGGTTTACAACCCCGACCACTTACTTCAAGGTGGCAACTGGCGGTCGGACTGTGTAACTCAGTAACCATATGCGGCTTCGTTTGATATTTGAGTGGGTTCACGCCGTATTCGGGGATTAATTATTCCAACTGGTTTTGTCAACTTGGATAAACGGCGCAGAATTCAAACCTGTTACTCACTGACAATTACTTTGACATGGGTGTAATCGCTCATTTACCTGACTGGTTCACGTTGTAACTACTCACATCTCGAGTGAATTCAGTTGTCTTGGATGTTAGGTAGCTTGAATAACAAGTTTATATACTTATTAATTTAATTTAATGAAGTTTTGAAATAACTCAGTTAATTTACAATTTATTTCATTTGTTCCTTTCACTTTTTTTCGACATAATTTAATAGATCGCATTGCTCCACTACGGAATTTCCATCACTATAAGTCTGGTAGGTTTTGTTCACTTTACTGCTTATATTTTGCATATTCGGGAGAACTATTTTAAAATGCAATTTATTAGAATTGCTATCAGTAATTCTTTTTGTATGTGCTAAGTTTAAATTTGCCAAGTTATATGTACGTTTTGACAGTATATCATCATTTAAAAGTTTTTCCCCTGAATTTTATCCAAAATGACCTGAATTTTCGTTGTTGTTTTGTTTCTTAAGGTGATTGGCACAAACTTTTCAGTGGATTTCTTTTTTAGTTGCTGTTCACACTTTTGTCATAATCTCATATTTTGGTTCTTTTTCTATCCATTGGGTCATAAATGCATTTTGGTTCTGTAAATTCTAATAAAAGATGTGTCTTCCTGTCAACATTTTTCACTCTCACCTTTATTTACCCATACTTCACTCTATGGGTATCGAATATTTTAGCACTAGATCCCTACGACTACTTGAATCCATACTCTAAAGTTTCCGAGAATTTAGTGAATAATTTCATGCTTGTGTTGAGGTTGAAAGAGTCTGATGATTTTGCTTTTTATTCTCATTGCTTAGTCACAGGTATGTTGATAGTGATGAGTGATTTCTATTTCTCCCTCAAAAACATATTGGTGTCCTTTGAGTTTGCTAATTGTTTGTAGAAATTATCAGTGACGTAACCAAGCCTAGCCTAGTGACGAAACTTTTACGATCACATGTCAAGGGTTAGAGAACGCCAAATGATTATTCCTCTTCTTATCAACTAAATAGCCTCTGTTTACAAAGTGAAATATGAAGTACTCGGAAGTCATCCCTTCCTAGATATGCAGCCGTTTCCCTTCTCTTGATTATAAAACATGAAACACTATCTTTATCACCTAGAAACCACTGTTTAGTCATCGGCTAGGTATCCAAACATTTTTCATCCCCAGTCAATTTGTATTCCAACTTTCAACTAATTGAACTAGTTTTGTGGTATTTATAAGGGACTTTCTTAAGATAGATAGTATTATGGAATCTCATTCGTAGACAGTGACGTACAATACCAATCTAATTATGATTAAGAGAGCATATTTTGTGGTAATACTCTGATATGAGTTTCGTTTTATCAACTGTCGTTCGATGGTCGATCTGCTGGACAATTATCTCACTAGATTAATTAATTTTTCAGCATTTATTTCTGAGTTGGATTGGAAGAGCTCTGCACTTAGAATCCGGGGGTCAAGATTGGTTCGATAGTAGTAAGTAAAGTAGTTGATCACCTCAATCATGCAAGGAGTCAATTTAGTTTAAATAACCTTGTGGTTGACTCATTGTCGGTACAGCTGGAGAAGCTACTCTGTTTCCTTCGCAAAACACCACATATAACGTGCAGTATCTTACTACTTGTTACTACAGTCTTCTGTTTTTTGCATAACCATGAACGTAAGCGATAAATACAAGACTGAAAGCTGAACATATGTTAGAGTGACATTCTACATTAGTTTGTTCATCAACTGTATCGAAATTTGTCGTCCTTGATGTGACTAGGGGCAACAGATTATCCCAAAGTTATCTGGTAGGTGGTAGTCTACCACCACTGTATGACACACTTAACAAACAAACTGAGATGGTTTCTGGAAGTAGGAGAATTTTAGAGGTTACAGGTATTGGGCAACATTTCCCTTCCAAACTCCACTCCAAACGTTATCAAATCACTGCGTACGTAGTGCTGACACTAGAGTCAGTTCCAGACATCGAGTGTAATTCGTCTATGAGTTTTTAGAACTAGATCTACTGAGGTATGGGCTATTTTCACCGAACCACTATTTACTGTGTTGGATTGTATTAACTGAAGTTGAATTTCCTTGGGTAGAAGCTAAGAGTAGTCGGGACAGATGTGCTTTGAGAAAGATTTCTTGGTTAAATTTATTTATTTGAGATGGCACGCAGTAATACGACGTTGTTTCCTACAGAATATTTCGAATATCTGACAAGTCCTAATACCTAATTAACAAGATTAATTCGTCACATATTGCGAATATTTGGAAAGTTTTACTACCATTAAAGTGAAAGAATAAAGAAATGACTGTTGGACTATATAAAGGAAGTTTAAAAGTCGTGTGATTACTTTGATGTAAATATAAGCAATAAATTCTGCTCGAAACGTCACCCAGTCAGTAGTGCTGTGTCACTGTGCTAAATCGAATAAAAAATCGATTATGGAATTATACTGTACCATAGTACCCAAGGTCTACTCTTGTACTAATATAGTCTATTGCAAATAATACCAGAGTAAGCACATAACTTACACACTTCCTTTCTTTGGTCATACGGTTCCTTATTCTTTTGTTTCTAGTGGAATTAAAACCATCCAGTGACTTACAAATGCAACAGAAAGGATTCATCACTCACTGTAACCATTTAGAAAGTCTTACTACCTCTGAAACTAAAAAAGTAATGAGCTGTTAAACTATAAACAAGAGGTTTTAAAGTTGTGTAGTGACTGATATAATTCTAACCAATTAATTGTAATCAAACATCATTTAGTTCATAATACTATGTCAGTGTGCTGCGTCAAATAAGCTAATGTAATGTGGAATTATGCAGTATCACAGCGCACAGATTTAACTGCCACATTAATGATATTGTTTATTAGTATTACACACGTCAACCACTGAATAATAATTGATGGCTGTTGAATCGTAAGTGCTGACACTAATCAGATTCTATCGACCAAGTTTGCAGTGATATCGCGCAATTGAGGAGTTAACTTGTTGGTTTCATTTAGGCGGACTATAATCAGACTGTCAATCTGCTCATATCTATTATACTTACTTGAGATTTTCAGTCGAATCTGTCTGGTTAGTTCTGATCTCATTGGTTTTCATTAAGTGTGTTTGAAAAATTCATAGAAATACGGTTTACTTTTTTTATCTCAGTCATTTTCTATGAAATGACTATCATTTTTTGTTTTGCAGGTGGTCGACACCATTATGCAGCAGGTAGTAATCATGCTCAACAAAATACCCACAATGGTTCACGCCACCGACATTATCGTCATTTACCTAGTTCAAGTACTTACGAAACTCCTTCAATGTTAAGTTCAGATCTAGAATCCACTAGCTTTTTAGATTCTGAAGAAGAGTCCAGCAGGTTAGTTGTTCAACGCGCGTATTTTATGTCGTAACTAGTTTTCCTTTGAAAATTCTGTGAAGTTTATTCACAGTGAGATGCTCTCTGAGCTACATATGTTTACCACAATTTCTGCGGTAAAGTTTAGATTGTGTTAAACATGAAAAAAAAGTTTTTTTTTATCAACCCTAGTTCTCATATCGGTAATAGTTGTAAGCTAAAGATTGGATGCCGCAACCGTTTTATAAAAAAGTAAACTGTTATGATTGTTGCGAGTTCAACTTAGTATTATATGCGTCGATAATGAATGACTGGTATCCCCCTGCATTGACAGCAGTTTGCTAGTCAACTGAAGAAAAGCAACTAAGCGTACAACATCGTTGAATGTACTTGTAGTTTGGTTGAAACCAAGTAGATAAGAAGCTAAGTACAAGTAAAGTTACCAAGGATAATGAATAAAACACGACTTGCACGGAAAGTAAGCAGTACTAATTCACAAATTTACAAGGCAGTTAGAAAATATCTAATGGTTTGCTGTCTATTTTTCAGATATGATGTCTTCAAAATAAATTACATGAAACTCATCTTTTATAATTAAGGTTTTCATCGGTCACGGGGACCACATTATCTTCCCGCCGATATGGTCGCGCGCGATGCCGACGAAGACGTAGGCGCCCACCACCAATCAGTAGAGTAGGTTTTCACTGACTGTAATTTTGTCATTTACTTGGTAAATGCGATTTCAATATTTGTTTTTCTTATTATTTTGAGATTAATGTGGAATGGAATTGTTTTACTATTGCCATATTATATGAAGAAGCCATGGTATCCCTGTTTGTATGCGCATACGACGCTGATTTGTTTTCAGTGAATTGAGGAAACGGATCAGTAGACTAACTGCTACTTGCTCTGTCTAAAAATCGAAACTCCTGAAAAACAAATTTTATTGGTTAAAAGTTACTAAGAGTTCAGAATACTACATGGCGTTTCTTGCTAGCTTTCCAAAGTGGTTATGACCTTACTCCGAAGTACCTGGTCCTGACAGATACTTGTATGTCATAGAGACAAATAAATCAATTTAGAACCTTAGACAATTCAAGTCGCTACACTTTACAATAGCACAGAAATGGGAGTTGGGTGGAAATCGATAGGTGTTAAAACAAACAAAAAGGTGTAGGAAAGGAGAAAATAAATGAAAGTTATAGGGTATCCAAATTTTTCCAGGATAGGCAGAGTGATGACATTTTAATCTGCGATCGATTTCAAGGCATTCTATATAGTCTTAAATCGGAAATTTCAAGAATTCGATACTGAATGCTTCAATTTATTGAAGTCTGGATCACGGCATTGTATTTTTAGATTTGTTGGTCTGTATGCCGATTATCTAGTGGGTGTCAATATGACAAATTTTCCCTTAAACTTCCATTGTTTTCATCCTGTTGGCTGCATAGGTTTAAAAGGTTGAGAAATATGTATGCTTCAGTTGTTACTGCACATTTTGCGTTTTACTCTTTTAAAATGATTCTTGATACAAGCTGATTTTAGTTGTGAGAATGCACGAGAATGTTTTCTAAATTTATAGATAACTTTCTTAGATCTTAATTGCTTGGAAGATCAGATCTTGTATTCTATTTTTGCAGGCTTCTTCATTTAGCAGCATCACGGATTCCACAATGTCGTTGAATATTATGGCGGTCACATTAAATATGGATACAGTTAACTTTTTGGGTATAAGCATTGTTGGGCAATCAAATAAGGCGGGAGATGGTGGAATTTATGTGGGTTCTATCATGAAAGGTGGGGCTGTAGCCCAGGATGGACGCATTGAACCTGGTGATATGATTCTTGAAGCAAATGGCATTAGTTTCGAGGAGATGAGTAATGACGACGCCGTTCGCACATTACGAGAACAAGTCCAGCGCCCTGGGTTAGTTATTATTACTTTCTAACACAAATAAACGCTGGATTAATTAACTAACTTCTTACTACTTCTTTTTATTTTGTATCCAGACATCTAACAAGTATTTCCCACCTCGTCGTAGTTGTTAAATTAAACTGGGCATGTTATGAATTCAGAGCTAATCTCAGTGGGATGCATGCTATACTTGGGGTTGCAACATATCAGTGTGGTCAGTTGCTAGCTTTGGAACTAAAAGCGATTTATGCTCTGGTGTAAGTAACCTATAGTGTTACAACGGGTTGAGGGTGAAATGATGTTGGTAAATCTTTAGCTATATGTCTGTCACATTTCTGTCGAACTATTACTATCCCTAGGTCGATTGCCTTCTGTTTTTGAAGGGAAAAAGTGGGTCTGAAAACTGTGCAGTACATCTTACCGTATTTTCTGATGTCATGATCGGCATACTTTGTCTTTGAGATAAGCATGCAAAACCTTATTGTAATGGTTTACTGAACTCCGCCTGTCCGACGTGATGAATCTGCAACATTTACCTCATGGATGTTGGAAAATTGGATAACTAGTTCCTCCAGGTCCAAAGGCTTAGGGTGCCTCAATAAGTTCCAAAGCGAAAACCACACTGGACCATCAGATCTCGTACAGTATGTGCGTTGTTCAGTCGGTTGAATCATTGTAAAGTCCTCTAGACCAGTACGCATATTTATGCTGTTTTTACTTCTACCTAAGCACTTGCAGTTTGGTTAATATATAGAATGAATTTCACTAAAACTATCGAACTCGCTACAAATGAGTAACCTAGAGACAGTTGTGTTATCGTATGATTGTTAATGTACAAGCTGTGAAGTTAAACAGAAAAGCATCTTGTGATTATCCTCAAAATCTCAGGCTTACCAGCTGGAAACGGTTTTAACGTTCTGGGATTTCGTTGTGAAAATAGCTTGTGTTTGATCAGCTGTAACTTCAAACGTAAGTAGCAACACTATCTAGCGGAGTGACCGCTAACATCGAACACTTGGTGGATTCTGATAGACATTGTTGGAGGAAGATTTTCAGGCTTTTTGATATCCCTGTTAAGATTCCAAAGGTGTAATTGTTTTTGCCTATGCGATTATAAGTTCGATTCGGACACAAGCTATCATTTTAAAAATCGAAGCAAATTCTGTTCTAATTCTTCTTAATTTGTGCATAATTTGCAAATTTTTCATACAAGCTTCATTTCTGTGTGCTTGGGCTTACTCATGCTTGGTTCTGATTGAAGTAAAAGTGTCTCGCAAACATCTCATCAATATTCATCAAAAACCTGCGAAATTCGTAATTCGCTAACAATTTAATTGCATATTCATGTTGTCATATGGTCTGTTGTTGGGTAGGGTAATATGATTCAGGTTCTCAGATTGTCTGGTTCATGTATTGTGTCGTTACTTAAGTATTTATAACCATTCTGTGCAATGCGAAGTCAGAACGTTTCCATTCCCCAGCCACCATTATTTATTAATTGGATATAAAATAAAGTGTATAATTGGGTCGTTGATTTAATTTCTTATGGTATTTGTATCCCCGTCACTTATGTTTTCGTGAAATCTTTTCTAGACCCATAACTCTGGTTGTTGCCAAATGTTGGGACCCGAATCCAGCTGAACGGTATTTTACGATACCCCGCCAAGAACCTGTACATCCTATTGATCCACGCGCCTGGGTGCTACATACCAATGCAATGACTACACCCGATTCTCACATTCAGCGCGGGGATTCACATCGACAAGTCAATGGGGCTTCTATAACTGGTGCTTCATCAGGTGGTGAGTCTAGCTCTACTCTCAGTCCTCCGGGTCTTACTCCAGGCATGAGCATGGGGACCTTGACTTCAGGACAAACTTCTATGCCTTTGGGTACAAGTGCAGCGGCTTTCAATATGGCAGCTTTGCTCGCGGCTTCTCAACAAAAACAGCAACAAGAACATGAACAACAACAGCAGCAGCAACAACTACTTCAACAGAGAATTCATTTGCCGCAACCTGCATTTTATCCAGCATCAAATGTAATGGTTCCTCATGGTTATACCCAACAGGTAGAATTCTTAAAATTCATTTAATCATCTTTTCCATTTTCCGTAGGCATCTGAATAGCATTGTAGTAAATAGTGAAAATATTATGACAATCGTCTCTTCCTTTTGGTTGATTTAAATTATCTCTTCTCAAACACACATGTTTGATTGCCTACGGAAATGCTTACACTGTTCGTGTTTAAGTTTGTTACAAACGTTCTGATGGCTGTAACCCTATGATATAACAAACTTCTCAGGAACGAAACTACTCCAAGGAGGGCACTTGGTTGATGTGGGATTATTCAGACAATGTATTCCTGTTATGTGAAGACACTGACAAGATGTGAGGTTTTCTGAGCACCTTTAGAAAACTTGAAGATGTTTGGCATGCGTTGTGTCCCCATCAAATGTAAGGTAGCGATTTAGAACTGATCTACACTAACTCCTGGTTTAAGGATGGGGAAGTGAATTTTTGAAATGCATCGATCACTTCCCTTACTTGGAGATTGAGCCTTAGTTCCAACCGGTTGTTTTTTGACGAAATCTCAGTTCGGATTGTGTAGGTTTGTTTGGCGTTTGGCAACTTGAGTCACCTCTGATGTTGACTGGTGAGATGATCTGACTGCCTGTCGAAAGATGAGTATACTATGCAGGAGTTCACTTTGTCTTGCTATACGGATATGAGACGTGGTCGTAGAAAGAAGGAGATATGTAGAAATCACAGGTCCTTAATCAAAGGTACCTTCGCAACATTATTGACGTATGGTGGGATCACCGTGTTCCATTGTTGGGGTTTATGTAAAGGGTACTAGACAAACCAGTTAGTGAGATTGTGAACCCTCACCGATTGAGGTGTCTTGAACGTGTGTTGTGTATTATATAAATTATATTTGATTTGATGTGTTCTTTTTATTATGGTCCCAACTAAAATTGGTACATTCTTTTGCAAGATTTTAACTGGGTTCATGCTTTTCTGTTTCTTTCTTGACTTTTCTAAAAGTATCCACTCAAAAAGATTCACCAGATATTTTAGAGATATATTTGTGGTCCTTAACTAGAATTCGTAGGATGTCTAGATTTTGCACAACTCTGAAACCATCTAGGCTTCGCTGTTGTTTAAGCATCATCCTTTTAGGTGAGCGATACTGGCTTCTGCAGGTTGTTTTCTAAACCGGAATGGTCAGTTTTACGAAAACGTTGAGAACATCATGATCTTTAGTAGCATCCGTGTATTGTAATGCAACATCACGGCTTAGAACGGTACTGATCTGTGTGAACTATCTTTTTCCGTTATATATTTCTGAATAAAAGATCCATATTTACATACAATAATTTTTTTCTGTATTTCCGGTTGTTTCTTACTGTCAGATTGCTCCTAGCATAGTAACTGCTTCAAGCTCGTTACCTGAAATTGAACGCTACTCGGATCCTATTCCATTAAGTTTATCAACAAGTATTCCGACAGTGATTCGTGCAATGCTGCAACCGGATTCTGGTCTGGAAATTCGCGACCGTGTTTGGCTGAAGTTAACTGTGCCAAATGCATTTATAGGTTCGTAATAAATTATATCTCTTGCTTAAGTATTATCCTCCTCGCTTGTTTTTATTTATTATTCCTTAAATTTCATGAACCATGATTAGCGCTGCCAATATCGAATTGCCTATCTTCTTCGCATCCTGATACTTAATGGTGTATTCATCAGATAGTTTTCAATATGGTGTGGGAATCAAAAATAGTTTTCGCCTTCACGTTTGTTTTCAGCTGTAGCAATGCACCAGACTACTAATTTAGGGTGTTAAACAATATTTCGTGTGCTCTGTCACTTGATCACTACGACAAGATTGTTTTTCGTGTAGTTGTTTATTTTTAGGTTTGTGCTGAACCATTGACTCTCTCTAACTTAGTGAAATTAGCATCATGGGAAAATTTTTCTATTTGTAACAACATGATTATTTTTTAAATTTTGTCGTTTTCATGGTTATTCAAATCTATCATACTTTATTCATTTAGTTTGATATCATCTTTTGCAGGCTCTGATCTTGTTGATTGGCTATTCAGACACTTGGAAGGCTTGGTCGATCGTAGAGAAGCTAGGAAATATGCATCGAATTTACTGAAATTAGGCTATATTCGCCATATTGTAAATAAGTTAACTTTCTCAGAACAGTGTTACTATGTCTTTCGGGATATTAGTGAACGTAAGTAATGATTTTAACTTAAATCTTAGATATTTTTATCGTTATACATTCATTTCATTGCATCTCTTTGATGTCAATTCAGTAACCTGTTGACAATGCATGTACGTTTTCTCCTACGGTTCATATTTATTATCATTGAAAAAAATTGATTCAATTTTGTTTGTAGGTGAGAATGTTTGCCTTTTTCTAGTGATTGTTATATGCGTTGTCTACTAAAAAGACTTAACATGGTACAAACTCGTATCATCATATGATGTTCTTAGACGTACTTCTGAGTCTACGAGATGATTCAGTAAGACGGTCAGTTAACAAGAAGCATACATAGACATGACAGTATCTGAAATTTCACAGTTTTCCTCCGATCCAATACAAGCGAGGTCTAGTAAATTGCCTGTTTAGCAGGATCTATCCTATCTGCACATTAGATTGGATGGATGAAGATATCGCATTACTGACCCAAGCATTTGAGGAAAATGGATATACATTGAAGTCAATAAACCGTTGTAGAAGTCAGGTAGCACGAAGCTCGACTCTATACGCGGTGCCTAAGAAAAGTGTCCGTATCACTGCCATACGAAGGGGAGTTGAACACTATAGTTTCGAAATGTACGCTGGTATCAGCTAAAGGAAACCTATTATACAGCTATACTTATTATTGCGGAAGAAACAAAACACACTTCACCACAAACCTAAACACTGCATGAATGATTCCGTCACATTCTGTTGTTTACCAATTTGCATGTGTCTGAATACATGCATAGGTAGGAGAAATTGAACTGAGTAGTTGATGGTGGGAGAACATGAACACCTGAATGGCTTTAAAAACAGATGAAGTGTGAAAGTTTGGTAGGCACAGGTGGGGAAGACCTTATTTGTCTATAGCTAAAAGTATTACAGAAACGGGTCACAAAATTATTGTTCATCTTTTGAAGTTTAATAATAGAAACGGTTGGGTACGCATAGTGATATTTGCGGATTCGATAGCCGTTCAGAAATGGAAATCACCTTTATTAGTTTAAAAATAATTTGTTCTTACACTTCACCTACCTAGGGAAAGTTTTTTTCTTGCCAAGATTAGGATCAACCATATCATTCTTCCTTTTTCTCATCTTTCTTAATGAACTTTAATCTTCTATTTATCTTGACCGCCTTTGGTCCGCTTACTCTTCGGTTTAGTATAAATTTACCTGGCACAAATGTATGATCAGGTTGTTCTAAATGTATTGAGCAAATACATCACATTGTTCAGATAAACTTAGTCTTCTAATTACACTAATTTAGATTCTTATTTCGCTATCTAAGGATTGTACGTTATGTACTATGCAAATTAATTTCACTTCGCACAGTTTTTTGCTCAGTATGGAATAAATCTCAGTTTATTCGCTTCTCTGTTTCATGGGAAATCCAATCGAAGTTCTATTTCACATTCGAAGTCCCTTGAATGTATGCTTTTAGTTGTGAAGCCCCTCAGTTTTAAAATCCATTTTTATAGAAATACTATGTGTCTTCTATTTATCAAGTTATTATTATTTCCCCCTATTTATAATTAAAATTCGGTTTTTTTCATCCTATTGTAAAAATCTTTGCACATTTTGCTAAATGATAATTCTGAACATCCTTTCTTTTTAGATATGTCTTGCCTAAGTTTAGAAGAAGTTGACAGCGTTAGTGAAGTTGGTGCTCTACCTCATTCTAACTGGGGCCACAATACAACAAGCACGAGTCTAACCGTAAGACCAGGCCCGAATAGTAGCGTACAAGAATACAATGCAGGCCATACCGGTCCTCATGGAGTTGTCGGATCGGGAAACAGAGAGGGAAATAGCAGTCAGTACAGTACTGTACCGCCAATGTACCATCCGCCTGTTCCACCTCTAGCTGCTCCCATTCGTCAGTTGATTGCTGATGGTCAGAATGTAGCTGCTAATATAACTCTTCAACAACCTCATGTTTCCAGGCTGAATGATAGTAACAGAGATAATATATCAGGTTTGTCGTAGGTTTTTGTCAGGTTCCTAATGCTGAGTAATACTGTGAAATCTAAATCAATACGCATGAGTAATGGAGTAATGACCTTCAAGTGTTTTTTGAACACCTCACGAATTGTAATTTTCAAAATTCTCGCTCATGTAACCAGTCCTGATTATCATCATAGGTCGAAAAAAGTTATTTATTTGATAAAGCAACAGTACTGTACGTGCATGTGACTAGACTTCTACTGACAGTTGTGTAGGAGCATGATAACCAAACTAGTAGCTCAAATATCAGCTTGATAGCTGAGGAGTATGATACATAACAAAACGTGTGTAGCTATCACAGTTTCAACACATCAGCTAAAGTAAATAACAGCGTGAAGATAAAAATGTGCGTGCAAAATTAGGACAAGTGCATAAAACAATCAGACAGAAAAACAAAATCAACCTAAAATCCTCGATAAAACTGCACTGATTCAAGATGCCACTCTTCACAGTAGCACACAAAGAACAAGTGATTAACAACAGTGAAATCGAAGTCGGTGAATTGTTAGAAAAAGGCTTTTAAATGACCGTCAGTAGATGTCCCATGGGACCTGTAGTCACGATTTTTTTTCTATTTCAGGTACCTTGATATGGAATATCATTGCACGGTGTGGGCAGCCGAGAAGTGTCAATCACCGGCATACTTCCAGTAGTACACAAGACCCAATCAAACATAACCTATCCTCCTCAACTCTGTCTCCCTCTTTACATTCACTTCCTGATACTAATATTAAACCTCTTACACCTTCCCCAACCTCTCACTCTACGACCATTACGAACGATCAAAGGCATCGAAATCTGATTTGTAGTCTCCTAAGACTCCACGCGCTATTGATTTGGTGTAGGGGCTTTCAACGTCCGAACTGTGTGCCAAGTCGGACAGCAAGCATCGCTCGCCAAAACTCTGGCTATGGATTTGTGCTGTGTCTCTGAGACACGTATACAGGCCCCTAGAGGGGTTTTTAAATCGACCTCACCTGGCCAGGTAGTGGGCCTTCAAAATTCACCATGCGAGTATCCGGAGACCTCTTGGCTAACTCTCGTGGACTGGGTGGTGTAGGCACAGTATTGAGTTGTACGACATAAAGTTGTGCTACATTTCTCGACTGGATAGCAGTTAACAGTCGTTTATGTGCTGTTCGACTGAATGGATCTGTGAAACTAGGCGATGCCTATTCGTAATCTCCGCCTATGCATCCACCGACTGCAGCTCTTATCATAGAAAGGATGAGTTCTATGAAAGGCTATTCATTTTGCTGCGTAAAGCAAAACGTTCAGATGCAGTCATAATGTGGGGTGACTTTAACGCTGAAGTAGGGAAGCCGAACTGAGGCATCTGGGAGGTATTTATGGAATCCTATGCCAACGAACCGACAACGGTGATCGTGTGGTGCGATTTTGTTGTGATAATCACTTGTTTTTAGCCAGCAATAACTTTAAACATGAGGAAAGATACTGTCTGACATGGCGTCTTGCGACTTCAAACGGACGATGGGCACAGATAGGTCACATTGCTATAAGCCATCGTTAGAGAGGATTAGTGGAGGATTGCCACTCTTTCTGAAGTACCAGTTCAGACTGTGGTCACGCGCTTATATCGGCTGTTGTATGTCTGCGCCTTACATGTTGCACGAAACAGGAGACAGTGAAGCATTTCTTCGCTCGATTGGAAGATGAAGGCGTGGATGACGTGTATAGGGAGGAGGTAGCGTAACATTTATCTGAACATGAAAGCGGTGCTCATCCTGAGGGAAACTGGCGTGATATTAGGTCTGCTGCAGAAACAGCTTTCAAAGCAGTTTTTAACCTACACTTGAAGGTTAGCAAACTTCACTGTGTTTCTGTGACGTCGTCCGAACAGACTAATGCAAGAAGACAGATTCCAGCTGGCTCTGACCATGATGAAGAGTGAAAGCAACTTATGTATGGGTTGACCAAGAGTCTTGGTGTTAGTCGCGAGGAGTGGTGAGTGACGGAAGGGAGAGAGATGGAGAAGGCATCAGCGTTGGGTAACACGTGGCAACTATTAAGGCTTATAGGGAATATGAGAAAGAGGAAGTTGAAGTTGAGTGAAACCTTCATTGCGTTAGGAATGAGATGCTCATAGAGATTCAGGACAGGTGAATGGAATGTTGGACAGAACACTTTGAAGCAATGTTGAACTGTCCCTCAGCAACGCTTCAGTTGGCCAACATGTAGCTAGCATGAGCCTGAATGGGAGGTTGACGTCAGTCCTCCAACTCCCCTTGAGGTCAAGGAAGCTGTCACGGTTCCTGTTAAACTTCTCCATAAAAGTAGTAATCGACATAAACTTAGGTATACCTGACTTCATAGGGATTGGTATGTTCCTTTGAGATTGTCTACACTGTTCTCTGCTAACGGAGGGACGGGTCTGGGAGTGCGATAAAGTGCTAGACGATAACTGAATAGAGGGTCTATCAGGGGAACTTCTTGGTGGTGTTCTTCCCTATATATGTATATATGCTGCACTCCTGTGACTGATTTGCTTGCCTGTTCACGAACGAAATCGAGTCGGCCGGTGTGCTTACCTATGTATTTGGTGTGGGTTGCAAGTCAACTATGAGGTTCAGTGTCTTCGGTTACGACTGGGATGAGGACTGAAAACCTCTAGGTCTGAATCCTGTCTAATTTTAAAGTGGCTGAACCGACCTACATCTTCCTTTCAGTGTCCACACAGGACAGAACATGTTCAGCTTGGTTCATTAGGTTCGGTGTTATGCTAGAACGATGATCATCGGGATTGATCCATGTCGTGGATGCTATCTGGATAACTTCAAGTATTCAGAGGATATTGTCCTGCTAATGAAACGCTGGGGAAAGCCATTTCTTCTAGATGCTTTGAACGGGTATCTTAATTTGCAGAGCATGCGTTTTGAATATATCATATGTAATATGATGCTCCACGACTGGTTTGCTTCATCCACTCCCTGTTTAATGATGAGGAGTGAAGTGGTGGAATTTGTCAACCATTTCACTTACTTGGTGAGTTGCATTAGTTCACCGACCGGTTTCTTTACTGAAGAAATCTCAGCGGAGATACCGAAGGCTTGTTCGGCATTTTACAACTTGCGTCGTCTATGGTGTTGACTAGTGAGTTATCTGACTATATATCGTAGGACAGGTATACCTTGCTGCAGTCCGTTCTGTTCTAGTGTGTGTCTGTGAGATGTCGTCGTTAAAAATGGTAGATATAAAGCGAGTTCAAATATTGTTCGCAGGTGTCTTCGTTGTATTGCTGTGAAGTCACCTAACACTATCAAGTACCTCCGTCACCTTAAGCATCGATTTCATACCTGTATATTTCAGAAAGTCAGTTGGAAGACTGTCTGGTCCTGCTTCTGTGCGTCGTTTCAGGTTCAGAACAACTTCCTTAACTTCAAGGATAGTTGGAGGATCGACGTATACGTTCCACTAAGATTCAGGCTGGGTGCATGTTGAGCAACTGGGGCGTTTCTGAAGGTCATTTAAACTGTATTCTGCCCAACTTTCTAGCTGCCTGACAGACTGTTGCTGAACCCTTTTCCTTGTAGGTTACCAACTGTCTATGCCGCTGTTTCTACTGTAGACTGAATCTGACGCTAGTCTCTATCAGAATGAAAACTGCAGCCATATCCAGATAACTGCTTGCTAATCTCTCTTTCTAGTTCACATCTGCGGTTCACATGTTGAAGTTGACCACACAGAGGACCAACTACTGCGACGATTAAGGGTGCAACATACATGTGCGCGTGCGAACGCGTGATCGGCGTCTAAATAAGTACTCTAGAAAACGGCAATCCTCTACTGATTATATCTACAGGTAACTCATAGCAATATGTTCTGTCTGTGGTTCGTTTGATTGAATTTGAGTAGTACATGGCAGGGTGTCTCTATTTAGGCTTGAAATTAGTGCGTAGCAGAAACAAGTAATTATCTGAACGCAATCGTAGCAGACGATCATTTTTGGTTCGTCCTTATGAGATTCTGTAGAAATCTCCAAGATACCTTTCTGATTAGCTTAGCTTTCCTATTTGAGCGTTGAAATCGCGTGCTGTTATGATTACATCTAAACGTTTTGGTTTTTGTGGCGAAATTGACACTTAGATGGAATTAACGCTCCGCGTCATCGGAACTGCGTTAGAGCTGTATCTCATTGGTTTAAGCGGTTGACTATCAACCTACCTATAAATGGCCAGTCAGAAAGCAGCACTGGCCTTCATACAATAGAAGTGCACTTTCTGCTTTACAAAGTAATGCTACACGTAAAGCAGTGAGACCGCGAAAAGTAGTCTTTGGATATCCGAACTCTCGGGGAGTGAATTTTGCTAATTCACCACATCTACCAGGTGAGGTCAAGTGAATAACCTCAGTCGTATCCTTATACGTGTCTCATGTGCATGGCATACGCGTATGACTTGAGATCTTAACGTCTTAGAAAGACATTTGTGTTGTCTGATTTGCATACAGTACGTACTTTGAAGGATTCAACGTGAAACCGACTGTGGCGATTAAGGAGATTAGGAGTGGTGTTCTGTTGATGTGGATCGTTTGCAATGGTCACAGAGTTGAGGGTTAAAGATGTTCTACGAGGCTAAATATTGATTTTGGTTAATAAAGTTATTAAAATGACTCAAAATTTTAGTCTAACTACCGTTCTACATTTCAATAATGTGACTTTCGTTTTATAAGGCTTTTAATTGGACAACAAAACATAGATCTGAATCTTTGTTTTTGCTGCGAGAATTGGGGAAAAATTGAAATACCCTCAATAATCACGAGGATGCCTGCACAGTAGGCAGTGGGCCACAGTTATTTTGTGAGTACTAGTGGTACTCGATGGCTGCCCAAGCCACGGTAGGCAGAGTTGGTTTCGAACCCGTCACCCGCTGGTTGAAACTCAACACCCTAGACTAACAGGCGACAGCTACGTAAATAAAATGAAGTCATTTTTTGGACCAGCAATAAGTTTTAGTTACTACACTTAAAAAGAGATCCCCTTCAAACTACAAACATGTATAACCGAATGCATCTTTTCTTTTGTGAGTGTTACATTTATTCACTGTCATCAAGATGAGCATGTACCAAACAGCAAGTCACATACTTTAACCAATGACCTTCAACATTAAGGGAAACGACTCGATCCACTGCCTAATGTTTATCAAGTAATTTGTTACAAAATGAATTTTAAGTGTAGCAAAGGATACAAAGCCAGTGATATTAAAGGTGATCGGTGCATTTTAGGCCAGTCATTTGCACCTCCACTGCCTCATATTTTGTTGCCCTTTCACTTCACATTCTTTGTCTTTAACGATTGCGGAACTTTGCACTCCTCCGGTCGGTATAGGTGTTGCGACGTGCTTAATGCATTTGTAGTCTATTGGTCTGACTAGCGACCTGGCGGCAAGCTACATTGGTTTTTATTACTGTTGCTTCATTCCCTCTATTGACTAGTTTTTCATCGGTGTGTACTACAACAGTCGAGTTTTTATAAACTATCGACCTTAGTGGTTTCTACCGTTTTAAATGTAGCCAATTTCTTATGTTCCGATAGCTGAATAAGTATTGCAGAAATAAGACAACGCCTTTTCTAAAGATGTGAAAAAGTCTGTTACCAATGTACACCACGAATGTGAGGCGAGATAGAATGATGAAAATTAGATGTCAACAGCTGTATCCTTACTTAGACATGATTATCAGCAGTAGTTTATATTCGAAATGTCATTCAGTAAATAATACTGTTTCGGTATGTGCTATTTCGAATAAATAAGTTCAACATAGAATAATTATGCCCCACCACATTGCCTACGTTTCTCTTTATTATTGAAAAAAATATTTTGATCGGTTTCATTTTTGTACCAGGTTCACTAGGAAAAAAAATCCTACCAGTCATTCTTCTTGTTGGTTTTCAGTAGAAGCATTCATAGAAACTTGTGCCACGATATTATTTTATCGATAAAATCATGCATATTATAGACGCAGTTTTGTATGAAATATGAAGTGAAATGTGAAATATGTTATAGCGAAATTATATAAACTGAGTACCGAGTAACTGCCTAATTTTAGAACCTCATGTTTGTTAGAGAGGGAACTTTCTGTGAACGTTTGTGGTCAGATTTTTTGCCACTCATTTCAACAAAGTGAAAATTTGCATACACAGCGGATGACTAACTGTTGATCGATCTCACATTTTAGGGTCCATTGTCAAGACAAATGTTCAAGCTATTTCTTGCGAAAAATAGGATTGGTACGGATTATTTTTGTACTGTTGATTTGTTTGCTTTTTTTGGAAGTCGACATCATGTTAGTTCTCTGTAACAGTTCATCGACAACTATTTTCATGTTCAGCTATGACTTTCGTTTCCTTTACCACTGTGATCACTTTTACTTGGCTTTTTAAGGTTTTCTGATAACTGTAATCATATGATAAGCCTAACTTCTCAAGAATGAAACTACTTTAATGAGGGCACTTGGTTAATGTGGGATTATTCAGACAATGTATTCCTGTTATGTGAAGACACTGACAAGATGTGAGGTTTTCTGAACACCTTTTAGAAAACTTGAAGATGTTTGGCATACGTTGTGTCCCCATCAAATGTAAGGTAGCGATTTAGAACTGATCTACACTAACTCCTGGTTTAAGGATGGGGAAGTGAATTTTTGAAATGCATCGATCACTTCCCTTACTTGGAGATTGAGCCTTAGTTCCAACCGGTTGTTTTTTGACGAAATCTCAGTTCGGATTGTGTAGGTTTGTTTGGCGTTTGGCAACTTGAGTCACCTCTGATGTTGACTGGTGAGATGATCTGACTGCCTGTCGAAAGATGAGTATACTATGCAGGAGTTCACTTTGTCTTGCTATACGGATATGAGACGTGGTCGTAGAAAGAAGGAGATATGTAGAAATCACAGGTCTTTATGCGCGTCTTTTCTTGCCTATCACTTTCTCCTGCTAGTTATTTTAGCATAACTATTGTAATATCAATTTGAATCATTACTGTTTTTCTCTTCTCACTTTTATACGTCGTTTAGTTTCTGTAACTAATGTGTTCTGATAGCTCATTGCTTTTCTGAATGCTTGTGGTTACTCTTAAGACCTGGATTGTGAAGATTTTCTGTTGTCCTGTATAAGTTATGCTGCATAGTGCTGAAATAACACCTCGGAATTTCTTCTGATGTATTAGTTCTAGTTATACGGAAGTGTTTGTGTTGGTGAACGTTCGCTACAAAGTGAAAGCTGAACTTTTGGTAGATTATTTCATAAGTGAACAAATGTTTCAATTTCCACTTATTTTTACAGGTTATTCCAGCTCAACATCCAGCACAAGCAGTGAATCGAATCAGTTTGATCAGGAGATCCCTGGGCATAATAAAACCCGTCCTACAGAATTATCTATGTCAAACCGTCCAGGAGCTTCAGGATTCACTCATTCTAGACAACAGGAATCCCTATTGCTAAACTCTCGATCATTGAAACAACAGCATTCACAGTCGAATTCAAATTTAGCACAAACTCTCATAACTTCAGCCGCTGCTGGTGTTCCAGTCCATCCATCTAGATTTAAACATAGTTTTTTCTCTGATGCTAATGATATTTCTCAACAACAGGAGCTTGGAGCTTCATCAACAGGATCCAGTTCCACCTCTTTTGGAAACCCTAGACAGAACGTAACTACTAACAATTCCGATTTGAAGCAGCATCAAACACAAGAATCAATTCAACGGGATTCGATGCTTAGTTCAAAAAGCAGTAGTAGCAGCAGCTGTACTCCACTAAACGCTAGTGTGCAAGAGATGCGACAGGTTGTGTCAAATCGTATGCCTCACATGTCTAACCATCAGAATAGTGCTCCTCCGCCTCCTCCACCGCGAATTTCAACAGCTGTTTCTGGTTATACACTAACCAGTCATCCCTAAGTGGTAAGCTATTTCTTACTGGAACTGTGTCGTACTTGATTGTCTGATGATAATGGTATCAGTTTTATCGACTTATTGTCTTTCCATTCTGGCGTTTATTTGTTTCTGATATGTTGCAATATCTATCCTATCCACTAGTAAATTCTTTTTGTTCTTCATTACTGCAAATAATTATACTTACAAATGTAAAATAACAAACTTATGATTTATTTTCTCCTAATGAATGAAGTGGTCGTCCGAAGCAAATCAGACGTTTTCTGGTTCACTGAAATTTGCCTACCTCATACTGTCGCTTTTGATGGTTTCTGATATGTAATTATTTCGACTGCTTATTTGTATTTTTTTCAAGTGGGGTTAAGTGTGATAACTGAAGTTCCATAATATAAAATTATTTTTGGGTCATTATGCTCATCCATAACTCAGGCCATTTAGTCGATTTTCCTCTCAACAAGTTATCATCACAAATTTGTAATATTCCTAAAGGGTAGAACTGTATATTGTGCAATCCTTGGTATTTTAAAAGAGCCTTTTTTTCCAGAAGTACATTACTTCCCCACTTAATTTTTGTAATCTTGTAGTCTACCTCGATGTATCATATATATTAGTGTATTTGATTACAGTTTTCTAAAATCTTGTTCCTTTCACTTCTTTGAATAATAATTCTTAAATTATATTTTATGTGCCTCTCCGTTTTTAAACTTCCTAATTCTTTATTTCTTAACTGTTGAAACTTTATCCAACCATATGATTCGGTTACTGTGACTACACTCTTCAAAGTTGGTCACCGCCGCATCTAATACTTCATCCTTTAATTATATTTACATCTTTCCGCACTTTTTTTCGATTTCGAAGCCTTTGACGTATATATTATCTTGATATTTCATCTTCATACTTTATAATCATGTGTAATGAATATGCATCAGTGCTATATTGAATTTATTTGTTTTCTGTAGAAAAAGCAAAAGTGACATTAAAACATGCAACTGTATTCTCACTGATGACGGAGAGATTTACATGAAAAGTTTCATAAGAGAAATAAAAAAGCACAGAAAAATAGACGTTCAAAAAGCATGATGTTATTTGAAGGAAGGATCAAATAATGGGGCATGCAAACTTTCAAAGAATATTTGATTGGAATCGCTTCATGCTATCAACAATCGTAAGTTATTGTTTCCTTGTTTATCGAGGACCCAGTTAGGTAACCTACATGTCTCTTATCAGCAGTCGGTTATTCTGTCAATCGGTATCACACCAAGATCTTGTCATCATTGCTGTTTTCGAGAGGTTCCCAATCCAACCAGGTAGCTGGGTAGATGGCGTAATCTTTAGATTCGTAATTTGGTCAGTTATTTAACAGTCTGACTAGGAATCTACTTCTAGTTCTCTTAACACGTGGCCATGTTTGTATTACGGTAGCAGAGGGGTGTATCTGCATAATATAACTACCGGTTTCTGCTACCGTGGTGTTGTGATCGTGCTTGTCTGTCATGATGATCTAACGAGATACCATGGTTTGAACAGTTGTTCCTTGAGGTCACACCATGTCTGAAAGGCCTGTTGGTTATTGATAAGACAGGAAGCAGTAACAATCACAGTATGAAGTACTACACTGTGATAGAGGTTCGACAGCGAAGTTGAGTAGCTCACAGAACAAGAGTGTAGGATCAGTTGGTCCCAAAACTAGAACACTTCCCCTTCTTTTCTGGTGCCGATGGTATGGGCTGTATGGATAGGTTTTAGTCAATAAATCTAAATCTCAGATTTTCAGAATACCATATGTGACCAGCCTCAAGTTGGTGTCATTCTGGCTCTGCGCTCACACACTGCTATTACTAATCTTTTTTTTTCAGGCACCTCAAGAAGTAACAATTCATGGTGTGGAGAGCCAGGAATCGTTATTGCTCTCGTAACTCTATCAGTACTCAATTTCCTTAAGATAATTATCACCTTCCACATCTTTACTCAGTTTTCTTGACGAATATTTCTGCTTAAGTGTTCCAGCGCACCTTAACGACTCGAGTTCACGGAATAGCATACTTGGTATCCTGAAACTGCGTTCCAAATTACACATAACAGCTTTCAGTGTCTGTACCATTGAACCAATCGACCAATAATCTGAACTAGCCAAAACTCTAGCATCTTAAGTCATAGACTTGTGCTTTCTTAATGGAATACACAAGCAGGACCCAAATTTGGTTATTCACTTAACCTTACTCAGTTGATACGGTAAATCTGGGAGATTCACCTTCATAGTTTCTGGGGAAACGGTAGCTAATACTAGCGATCTTACTTTTGTGAAGAGAGATATAATCTGACGTCGCCTCCATCGATCTCAACGGTAGGCACAATACGTTACTACCAGTTATCGCTGCAGAGGATCGGTGTTATATTGCCACTCCTTCTGAAACACATGTGTGGACAGTGTTTATGTTGTTTTGCGTACGAGTACGTCTGCGTCTAAATTGATGGGTAGAAAGACTGCAACAACTAGACCATTCTGATCGCAGCTGTACGATGAGAATACTCAGGCTGGTTCTAGTGAACAACTGGATAGGCAGTTACCAGAGCACGGCCGTATTACTTATCCAAAATAACCACAGCGACACCTTCAGTTCCCTGTGGAAACAGTCCTGGGAACCGTAAGTAAACTTGACAAAAAGGTTTAGTGGATCTCATTAACATATGAATTAACGGATAGGAGTGAATATACACTTGTAGGCTTCGAAAAAATACTTAGAGGAAGCAATTCAAAGAGTCAGCAAAAATGCCTGTCAACAGTTGTTGGTAACGAAAGGTAACGTCACAGAAAATGAGAACACAATAGACAGCAGTAGACATCTATACGAACTGGCTATAGTAACCTGCGCAAAGTAAAGAGACAGTGGATTAAAGTGCAGAATGATGAGTGGGATTCACTTTCGGACGAGCTGAATAGAACAACGGCCGAAAAATAATAGAAATTGTTATCGTTCACATCATCCCTTTGTTCGTCTCTTCCGTACAGCTTTGCGTGCTGCGTTACAAGCTAGACAATCTGTAGTGGTTGGTTTATGGTACTAACCGATAATTGAGGCCAGAGATTGTAGAGCAAGATCAAAACCAGTAATCCGTTGGTTAAACATGGAAGGATTTGCCAAGTAATCAATCCCACCCGATCTACTCCCAGGGGATAGTTGCTACCTTGACGTGGTGGTCAGGCTTATATAGCACAATGACCTAACGAGCTATGCTGGTGGAACACTTGTTCCTTTGAGGTTTTCTTATGCCAGAAACGTTTGTTGGTTAGCGATAAGACGAAAAGCAGTTACCGTTGTTATGTAACTACTGCACTACAATGAGGGGAAGACGGGTCTGAGGGCGAGGTCGTACTGATGCTAGCTGGATGGCGTGAAACGGCGGTAAAGTATTTCCCTTGGATGATCAGCAGTGCGACGCCGATGCTACCTTCTCGATGGAAGGGCGAAGGGTATATAAGGTCGACCCCGAGCAACCACCCCCCGTGCTCCACGGTATTCTGGTGACAGCAATATGGGATTCTCCTGTGGCGTTAGAATAAGCAAACCTCAAAACAATATACCAAAAAACGCCCTGTTTGAAAGGCGTCAACCAAATGTCTCATGGGATCTGTGGTCACAATTTCAAGATTCAAGATGCTACTCTTCACAGTAGCACACAAAGAACAAGTGATTAACAACAGTGAAATCGAAGTCGGTGAATTGTTAGAAAAAGGCTTTTAAATGACCGTCAGTAGATGTCCCATGGGACCTGTAGTCACGATTTTTTTTCTATTTCAGGTACCTTGATATGGAATATCATTGCACGGTGTGGGCAGCCGAGAAGTGTCAATCACCGGCATACTTCCAGTAGTACACAAGACCCAATCAAACATAACCTATCCTCCTCAACTCTGTCTCCCTCTTTACATTCACTTCCTGATACTAATATTAAACCTCTTACACCTTCCCCAACCTCTCACTCTACGACCATTACGAACGATCAAAGGCATCGAAATCTGATTTGTAGTCTCCTAAGACTCCACGCGCTATTGATTTGGTGTAGGGGCTTTCAACGTCCGAACTGTGTGCCAAGTCGGACAGCAAGCATCGCTCGCCAAAACTCTGGCTATGGATTTGTGCTGTGTCTCTGAGACACGTATACAGGCCCCTAGAGGGGTTTTTAAATCGACCTCACCTGGCCAGGTAGTGGGCCTTCAAAATTCACCATGCGAGTATCCGGAGACCTCTTGGCTAACTCTCGTGGACTGGGTGGTGTAGGCACAGTATTGAGTTGTACGACATAAAGTTGTGCTACATTTCTCGACTGGATAGCAGTTAACAGTCGTTTATGTGCTGTTCGACTGAATGGATCTGTGAAACTAGGCGATGCCTATTCGTAATCTCCGCCTATGCATCCACCGACTGCAGCTCTTATCATAGAAAGGATGAGTTCTATGAAAGGCTATTCATTTTGCTGCGTAAAGCAAAACGTTCAGATGCAGTCATAATGTGGGGTGACTTTAACGCTGAAGTAGGGAAGCCGAACTGAGGCATCTGGGAGGTATTTATGGAATCCTATGCCAACGAACCGACAACGGTGATCGTGTGGTGCGATTTTGTTGTGATAATCACTTGTTTTTAGCCAGCAATAACTTTAAACATGAGGAAAGATACTGTCTGACATGGCGTCTTGCGACTTCAAACGGACGATGGGCACAGATAGGTCACATTGCTATAAGCCATCGTTAGAGAGGATTAGTGGAGGATTGCCACTCTTTCTGAAGTACCAGTTCAGACTGTGGTCACGCGCTTATATCGGCTGTTGTATGTCTGCGCCTTACATGTTGCACGAAACAGGAGACAGTGAAGCATTTCTTCGCTCGATTGGAAGATGAAGGCGTGGATGACGTGTATAGGGAGGAGGTAGCGTAACATTTATCTGAACATGAAAGCGGTGCTCATCCTGAGGGAAACTGGCGTGATATTAGGTCTGCTGCAGAAACAGCTTTCAAAGCAGTTTTTAACCTACACTTGAAGGTTAGCAAACTTCACTGTGTTTCTGTGACGTCGTCCGAACAGACTAATGCAAGAAGACAGATTCCAGCTGGCTCTGACCATGATGAAGAGTGAAAGCAACTTATGTATGGGTTGACCAAGAGTCTTGGTGTTAGTCGCGAGGAGTGGTGAGTGACGGAAGGGAGAGAGATGGAGAAGGCATCAGCGTTGGGTAACACGTGGCAACTATTAAGGCTTATAGGGAATATGAGAAAGAGGAAGTTGAAGTTGAGTGAAACCTTCATTGCGTTAGGAATGAGATGCTCATAGAGATTCAGGACAGGTGAATGGAATGTTGGACAGAACACTTTGAAGCAATGTTGAACTGTCCCTCAGCAACGCTTCAGTTGGCCAACATGTAGCTAGCATGAGCCTGAATGGGAGGTTGACGTCAGTCCTCCAACTCCCCTTGAGGTCAAGGAAGCTGTCACGGTTCCTGTTAAACTTCTCCATAAAAGTAGTAATCGACATAAACTTAGGTATACCTGACTTCATAGGGATTGGTATGTTCCTTTGAGATTGTCTACACTGTTCTCTGCTAACGGAGGGACGGGTCTGGGAGTGCGATAAAGTGCTAGACGATAACTGAATAGAGGGTCTATCAGGGGAACTTCTTGGTGGTGTTCTTCCCTATATATGTATATATGCTGCACTCCTGTGACTGATTTGCTTGCCTGTTCACGAACGAAATCGAGTCGGCCGGTGTGCTTACCTATGTATTTGGTGTGGGTTGCAAGTCAACTATGAGGTTCAGTGTCTTCGGTTACGACTGGGATGAGGACTGAAAACCTCTAGGTCTGAATCCTGTCTAATTTTAAAGTGATAATCTTCCCTGCCCGCTACGTGGCTGAACCGACCTACATCTTCCTTTCAGTGTCCACACAGGACAGAACATGTTCAGCTTGGTTCATTAGGTTCGGTGTTATGCTAGAACGATGACCATATACTATACTACTGATGCCAGGGTCTAGATGTCGACAGGGTATCTGATCGTTGTAAGAGCGTGAGAGTATGAACCCATGAGACAGTGGGTTCTGCCCTGCTTGATATAAAGGTTTGGGAACTTGGTACCCTTTCGTTTTGTATATTTGCCATCGACTGAACTGTAGTCATACTTATATGGTTACATGCGGGTGATGAATTGTGTACACTCATGGGTATGCGTGTCACTTGTTTATATTCTCATATATATATATACGGATATGGTTTCGTGTCACATATACGTATATGCATGTACCTATGTCTATATATATGAGATATATGCGAATATACACGTACATATATTTGTGCCGTTTTGTAGCCCCCATTGTTTGGATATATGGCATGTCTTTAGAACCGCTTGCGGTTTCTGCACCCACAATCTATCGGTTCTTCGGTGGGTTCTTGTCTCGTATGCGGTGTATGCAGACGATATTGTCGTGCTGGACGAAACGCTGACTAAGTGCAGTGTCTTCTGGATGAATTGAGCAGATATCTGAGTATGTTTGACATGCTCTTTGCACCTATCAAATGATGCTCCAGGACTGGTCTGCTGCAACTACTCCAGTTTAATGATAGGGAGTGAAGTGGTAGAATGTGTCAACCACTTCAATTACTTAGGGAGTGGCAGCAGCTCACGGAACGGGCTGGTTGCTGACAGAATCTCAGCTCAGATACAGAAGGCCCGTTTAGAATTTTCCGACTTGCGTCATCTGTGGCACCGAATAGCGAGATATCTGACTACCTATCAAAGAACGAGTAAACTGCGCTGGAGTCCGTTCTGCCCTGTTATAAGGCTGAGACGTAGCTGTTGAAAGTAGATGACATGTAGCGGTTTCGGGGTTATGATCTTAGGTGTCCTCATAGAATTGTTCGCTTTCGTGAAATCACCTAGCGAGCAATGTTGAGATCAGACGAAAGGTACAAAGCAAAACAGCCAAGTTGTTTGATGAGGTTTTGAAGAAACTAGTCATACTTTTTCTTTGAAAAGAGCTGAAGTAAGATGTTTTCACAATAAGCAGACAGGCGTTGGTATTGGAAGGCTTAGCCAACCAGTAACACTTAATATGGGTAACAGTAGTTTCAGTTTCTTGGTATACATGCGCAATAATGTTATTTACTTAAGCGTTAAATGATTATATGTACTAGCGTACGGAAACGTTTCTGCTACATATCTGAAGTTTTAACCAGCTCATTCTCGCCAAAACCAGGTTCAAATCTAATTTATCCACATAGTATGTACGACACCTAATTGTATAGAAAGAGGAGTAAGGTACAGAACTATCTGTCTTATTAAAGACAAGCAGTTCTAAATGAATGAGTGTTTAGTGTTTCACTGTTATAGGAATTAATTTATTTTTCTTATCTTCTTTGATCAATGTATCGATGATTATACATGTATACTACTGGAGTCCGTGTACGTTTATCCTGTAGTATTAGTATCGTCAACTGTATGACTCAGGTTCATAAACGCCTCATAATTGGCTAATTCTGATTTTCTCATTATTTCATTCAACCGATATATCTGTTAAAAATCAAAATAAGAAATTGAAGAGATGCAACGCTTATATTACAATTCATGCGTTTTTATAACAAAAAATTTTCACTCTTAATGTGGTAAGTATATTACTTATGTGAAAGATCGGAACTATGCGAAAGAGATCTTTACACTAATGCTAGTTGCGATGGCTACGCCCAACAGATATAGAAAACTATGATGAATTAGTGAATCAAGCTTGAGTGCCAAACAGTTCCTTTTAATTATTCAGATGTAGATGGATTATTGCAACTACATCGATTATTTTTGTTTATATTGCAGTGGCTAACACAGGACCCCTTCACATGTTGATTTTTATGCAGATAAAATAAATGGGCTGAGTTGTTTCGTTTTAAGTTTCGTATTACACATACTGACAGGTCAACAAAGAACCTAGCATAAAAGTACATTAATTCGTCTTCACACTCCACAACAGAATAAAACATGGAAGTGTGTAAGAAAAGAATAACAATAAAGCTGCGGAGGGAGTTTTGAAGGAGAGTGAATAGTCTAATAATATTCGAGTTTATTGTTTAGTGGATTAAGTTCAGTTTTTGAATGAAAATAAGTTTTTTGTGGGTGAAGCTAAAAGTTATCCCTATATGTTATCGTAGTTGCTATGGGACATAGCATTCTGTATGCATCTTCTACTTGCATATTTCTTAAAATGCCATCTGTCATTAAATCGTGTTTCATATTGTTTTCTCATGTGCAAATTATTGGCTGCAGTTCCACTTCGTAGGTGAATAGTAAGTACATTTTATTGATCAAGAATGATGCCCATAAATCAAAGTGAGTTTCGATCACCATTTTGTGACCACATCAGTGTAACCTTATAATTTCTTGACCTGATTATACATCACTACATTTCCTTTGATTTTATCGATATAAGAACCGTTCATATGTTCGGAATAGATGTTGAACATTACCACGTAAGGTTTCGATTTGACGAACGAAACTTCAGTTGTCCTGGCGTACGTTATATGCATGAAAATAATGTAGACGTGATAGTGGTTTTGTGTTCTCTGAGCTCTGGTATTTTGTCAACAACGTCAAATCACTATCATCATCTTGAGCTACAAATTCTTCCCATCATTTCCTAATGTATATATGACATGCTTTCATGAATATGCAGATAATAGTGTAACGAAGAATGCCTTGTATTTTTTGGAAATGAAACTTTTAGAAAATTAGTTATTTTCCTTCGACCATGTTTTAACTGACTATTGAAAACTCTGTCGTTACTCGTACTCAGTGGGTGAAAATCTAGAACATTCTGTGAGAAAGCTGTAATTTGTGAAGTGAACTCAAAAAGAGCAGAACCTAACAAAAAAAAACTAAAAAAAAGTGCTAAGTTGTATCAACAACTAACTGAAGTTAGCGCATTTCTAATAATGCATTCATAACCTCTAAATTGATGATTACTTGCTGCTTAGAAAACATCCAAGTTTAATTAGTTCATTTCGAAATAGTGATCAGCTATAAGTATAAATTTGTTACTTACAACCGATCTTTGCTTGGCAAACAATTCTCTTTCTTCTTCATTATTTAAGAATCCGTTTCTTCGTGCACCATTCGACGGCATACTCTACAGAAATAAAAAAAACAGTAAAACATTCTTTCAATGTCAAAATACGGCATTAATTTTCCTATTCAAGATGATGTTTATTTGATATAGAACACAATGATACAATAATATTTACTGAGTTACGTTTCAAGCGTAAATTATTGTTCATGATCATACCAAGGTGATATGACGGCTTTGTTGTTTAGTCGAAATGACATTATCAAGTTCCTTTGATTTTAATGGTAGTATAATTTTCCAAATATCTCGGATTGGCTTTGAGTTATTCCCACTGCATGTCTTTGGCGTTCATTCGATTAACACAGATTCAGTGATCAACATCTTTTACCACCCTACTACACTAGTCCTTAGTGTGCTTTTTTTGTCCCATCCTGTTTTATGACCATATATTCCTGCATGTATATCAGTAGCTTATTTTTTCTGTAGGTTACTTGTCTTGATAAGGTCTATCATGTTAAATTTAGCCAAGTTCTTATGCTTTACTAACCTGAGTGACCCCGTTCAGCTAGTTTGGTCTATGTACTTAACATCATAGTCATTGCACGGTATTTGGTAAGTCAAATTACTTTGTTTCAGAGGGCTAATAGAATCTTTAAGCAGACCCACTCAAAAAGATGGGTAAGGAACTACAGTAAGATTGATGCTATGCAGAGAATAGAATTCAGTATTCCGTTTGACTAGTGTTTGAATGTGTTATGAACTTATCACGTGTCGAATCAATATTTTCTGTATTCAATGATAAATTGCATGTCTTACTGAAAACTGTATAGAAGGGAAGTTAGTCAATCACAATGTAATCCTCTAACAATCGAAGTGACTTAAAGATTTGTTATATATTTTTAAAATTCTATGACCTTGACAAGTGATACTCTTTGAAATACGATTAGATTTCTTAAAGTTCATAGAAGTCAGGCTAATGAATCTGACAAATTCAGGGTGTTTCTGACAGTATGTTTGAACTAGGTTGGAAGATTTGAAATAACTGGCTGAGATCAGAAAGCTGTCAGGAAGTAATTGTGCAAAATTCTAAGTGAAATGGCATTAATTCTTAATCTCCACCTCACTCTTAAATCACTGGTCAGTCGGCATCTACTAATCCAAATTCAGTAGTTTTCTTCTAGTTTACTTTATCCTCTTTCCATTATTCTTAGTTTTCTTGTTCTATTCTTGTACGAACTATTATGTACCTACTTCTAAGGTACCAGGTTGAATTTAATCTCTCTGTGTAAGCTTGTTGATGAGAAATTTTAGTGTAAAAGTTCCCTCAAAATGTCCAGTGAACAAAGTTTGTATAATTCAGTTTGAAAATGAAATTGCCGTCATCCTATACTGTAAAAACTGATTTGGTCCACATGGTTTAAACACGCGTATCTAACACACAAAACTATGGTCAAATTACCACGAGTCTTCTTAGAACTTGCAATATACTACTCAATAATCTTATAGAGATGCATTATTATTATTATCACTATTATTACTATTATAATTATTCACTTGGTAATATTCTGCATTACCACTACGTGCTAACGGATAATTCTTATTATCCCTAAATATAATATAATATATAATTAGTTTGTCACACTCAGTTAACAAGCAGATTTTTTTTCGAACATAGCAAGTATTGTTTATCAGTTATACCACTACACTAATACGACTGGTGATTAACATTCCTTTCTGGCCAATGAAAGTCGGCGATAGTGAAATACAGTTAACAGTAAAATTAGTTGAAGTGAATATTGGTTTTCGGTAAGATCGCCTTAATCATTCTCAACACAAATGTTACTTGAAAGAGGTTACTTCCAAAAACAAAGCATAAATGGTATGCATACTTACTACCCCATTATTCAGTAGAACTCCTTTGTAAAGTATATAATACTACTTAAAAGAAAAGGTAAAGTTTTCATTTGTCTTTTCCTGATTCAGTACTGCTTAAATGGGAGTGACTGTGCAATGAAGGTTCGCTGAGGTTAATGGATATTTAATCCAACCTAAAACTACATTTCTGTAAAGTCCTCACTTGTGACATGTTTCAAGATGGACATCTAATGAGAAACTGTAACCTATGGGGTTAGTCAGTCTGAAGTGAAGTGGATGCCAAATCAAAACTGGTGGATAGTCGCGCTATATTGCGAACCGATAGAAGTAGAGAACTATGGACCCATTGAACTCTGACCCAGTAACTGGATAGTCAACATAATTGCCTTGAAACCTAAAGTTCCTAAGTCTTATCCCTAAAGGGGTTGTCGGCGCGTACTACTGAGGAGTCCTAGGATGAAACAGCTGTCCATTCCTCTCAAATTTCCAGTGGTTCTTCAACTGATGTTAGTCTGTGATTAATGCAACCATAAAAAATTCCTAATAACCTATATATATTCATTTCGATTATTAGAATTTCAGTTTATTGATGCATAGGAAATTAGAGATAATTACATATTTTTTTCAGAGTAGCTAGAGAAAAATAAGACTGACTACGAGCTGTTTGTTGACATGTGTAAAACCCGTCCTATTAATATAATCACCAGAAGTCTACTCATCAATTTAGATGAAACTATGTTTCTATAAGCCCTCATTATGTTGTCGATACACTTTTCTCAATTTCTAATTTCTTTTGCAGGCCAAATTATTATTATATACCTAGTTTGGTCGATTATATAGATGTTTTGTTAAGAAAGGTATCAATATTATGCAAATCAGTATCTTTAAATACGAAATTTATTTATAAAGTGTTCAACCCATTTGCTTTGTAATTTTCCATTTCTTTTTCTCTCAACTGATTTGTTTTCTTTTGCGCAATACTATCCCCACATAAGAAATACAGCTAGTGTGCTTAATGTCGCTAGCGTATTTCAATACATTACATCACAATAATGCTAGAATTGAGACACAGACACTCCTGCATATTTGAATATTGGAGCAACATGATGGAAGCACTCTGTCTAAGATATATTATCACACCTTCACAGGGTTTTTTCAACATATTACTTTTCATTTTCCAACAGTTTCACATTCACTGTGGGAAGCATTTAACATATTCAACACTTTCTAAATTCAATTATCATAATACTTGGTCAAAAGCAGCAGTAGATAAATAGGAATTTCTATACATAAAATTATTCAGCCGTTATAGGTATCAATCAATGTTGTGAAATTACATTGATTTGGAATGTGACAATGACTTTATGTCTAGTATCATATTTAGTAGTATATGGATAAAATACTTATTGCCTACATTATATATCAAGTAGAAATAATGAAGTTACTAAAAGAGGAATAGTGGTTTAGAAATTTAAGACTGATAGATGAACATACACAGAAACTTTTACAGAAGTGCATCACTTCAGGTTGCTACATTTCACAACGCCACACACGAAATTGGATGGTCAAAGAACGTCATAGAAGTCGATAAAAGAGTACGAGAAAAAAGGGGATAATTTAGATTTGTGAAAATGATAACAAATAAATGTATTTAGACTTCTGTGATCGATTAAAAGGCATGTTCGGAACAGCGTACAACCATTAGTTGCTGACATTTATAAACCCCAGTGAGACAGCTTACAAGTTCTTAAACAGCACAGATAACTGGTCAGAACCTTCATGGTTTAATAGCACCACTTGTTTTGGTCACAGCCTCATTTCAACTTAGTCCTACATTCAAGTAAAAGGTGCACAAGAAACCAGTGGTAAATCAAAGAACTGTCACGGAACAATTGATACGTTTTCCTGTTAGATTTATGAGTGATTAAGAGAAAGTATATTTAGGCAGGAATTAAGTTTAACATGTAAGCATTAAAAACCACTTTATCTATTTCCACCTTTAGTCTTCTGTATGCATACAAACATAGTGAGTTTCGTTTCAGAAAAAACACCTGTGTTTACAAAAATGTATTGATTGTTTTTGTCTGCAGTCTATCTTAGCTGTTCATAATAAACAAGCAGAAGTAAGAAACTTTTACGTTGTTCCGGATAACTGGTCTTAATCAGAGTTAGACAAAAACATTCCAATATGTTGACAGTATTCAGCATCTTGAAGAATGAAACGGAGGAAGGCTGAAAGTTAGACATTAATTTTATAATTTCAAGTTATTCTCAACAGATTTTATTAAAGCAACTAATGATGAATTAAAAACGTAATACTTTCGATAACAATGAAATGAAATCACTCCACTATTAGGCATAAAATATTTATTCAAACAACGGTTAGTTATAATGAATATTTTAATCGAAACCTGACATCTACATGGGGCACCCAGCTTATCATATACTCTGATGGTGTTGTGGAGACACTGCATTGCCAGATCTGGTAAGTGTGATGACCTCCCGGTTATATACTAGGTTGAGTGGGAGCTTTATACTAAATGCACGCAATTCACCTCGCATATCTCGTGATGTCATGGTCAGGCTTGCATGTCCCAATGACCCAACGGGTTACGCTGCCTAGAACGCTTATTCCTTAAAGTTTTACCATGCTCGAAGGGTCTTTTGGATAGTAGTAAAACTAGAAGCGGTCATCGTCCTACTGTAAATAGCGTACTCTGTGATTGGGGTTCAAGGGGAATGCCATATTGCTGTGTAGATGATGTTTCCTATCAATCCCCGACAGTACCAAGGCGATATTGACTCCTTATGGGAGGGAGGTTGTGCAAAATCGATCCTAAGAAATCACACTTCTCTTTGTCCTGAAGTATTTCGGTGCCAGCAATAGAACATCAGTCCGAAATTCTTAAAAAGACTGAGTATGACTGACCTCAAGCAGATATCCCGTGATCACTTTTTCAGGTGGCTCGCAGAAACAAACTCAACAACTCGGTCAGTTAGGAAATGACTGTCCACACACTTTCAACAGCACACAAAACTCAAATAACTATAAACTACTATTCTTACCTTATTCACCGCCACTGGCTTTACTTTCTGATACCAATACTAGTCATCTTCAAAGTCTTGCACACTTTGTCAACCTTCATTTATTTATTGTACCTCTCAATACATATTTGTCTACTCTAATATCGATTTTTCCGTCTTTGCATGCTATTGAGAAGCATGGCAAAATAGACTGATGCATTTCTGTGTCAGGCTGTGCGTTGATCTGTCCGTCTATTTATCTGTGTCTACTGATATCTACATTCCAATTTTTAGAATATAATATCTCAAGGGAAAATTCACAGAGGAGATGGAAAAGTTACTGATTAGCTCAGAAATAATTTTTAACTAACCTTAGATCTTTTTGGTTTAATTATAGGTTGATTCGAGGGTTTTGATGATAGATTGTCCTTGGATTGCTTTCTACAGTCACCTAGAAAAGAAATTATCAGTATAATGTGAGTTGAAACAATCGAATAGCTTGGAGTTTCAATTGATGACAATTAGTGTATAAATCCTCCAGGTTTTATCTTATTTTTTGTGGAAGTTGAATCGAGTTTGTAACCTTGCTAAGGAATCCTAGTACATACACAAATACAGGTGGGAGAAATTTTATTATTATTACTTGGTAATAGTAATGAAATCTATTTCACAGCCTAAGATATGTTTCAAGAATGACTGCATTACTGCAGCTCATAATGGGAGTAAAACATTAAGGACAACAAATGAAGATGAAACATTTGCGTCACACGATTTTTTCCAGCCTGGTATCACTGACTTCATGGTGCTAATATGAGATTACAATAGCTTTAAAGACTAAACTCCATAGTCGGCAGTAGACCTAACCTTTTAGAATCAAGCATCGTGTTTATTACGTCAGTTTACTAATGCATATTGCTTCAATTTTTGGGAGATTTCTGTTGCCTTCATGGAGTTTAACTCCTGTCTTTTTAGCCCTACTGTTACATTAGCTACTTCATGTGGACTACATTCAACTTAGTAATAATAATAATAATTCATCGTTTAAGGTGTATTTTTACTTGTGTAATCCCAAATATTCTGTATTCTTTTACTATTTGTTTTAATATACTACGCTGGGACATCACAGGGAAAATACAGCCTATACAATGAATCATCTGACTCGGTTCCCAAGTTTTTCCAAATTATCCAGTTCAGACGTTCAAATAATAATGATAATAATAATGAATTCCGAACAACCCTGATACAATTTGAAATTTTGGCCACGCAATATTACAACAAAAATGTATTCTTTCATGACATTTCCAATAGTTTTAGTTGTAGTAATTTAAATTTTGTAAATACTATTAGTAATACATACATGTATAGTTGAAATATTAAAAGCACAGATTATTTACTGTTTTTTCCGCGTAAGATGCGTGCTAGTTAGGGAAAATTCAATTCTTGTACAGATGAGTTTTATATGATTGCTTCTTGTCATCTCTAAGGAAATACAACTAAACAGCTGTGAATGAAGATGATGCTCAGTATTGAATAAAATAACTGTAACTAGTTGCCTTGATCAGTACACATATCTGTCAACTACAGTGTCAATCACTTGGACCACAGGCACACCGACTACCCTAATGAAAACTTTGTAATCCCTACACAATACAATATGGTCAATTTTCAGCAGATCAGGAAAGATTAACAGAGAACAATAAAGAAAAATAGGTAAATACAGGGAATAAAAAATTGTGAAAATAAAGGCCGAGTAATACTAGAAAGTCTCAGTTGCCTTATTTAATGCATTTATGGGCAGAATTAAATCAGGTGTTTGTTAAATACGGCCTTCATACTCTCAGTCTTGGCACAAATTGTGGTTTTCAGTGTAACTGTCTGAAATAGCCATGGTTTGATAAACCAACAATCCGTGACTTCATGGTCACACTTAGTTTTTTCGTCCTCAGTTACCTTCTCGCTTAAATTGCTTATTGGCCTAGAAAGAGGTTGGTCAGACGCAAAATAGCTTTTAGCTCTTAATTCGGTACTTTAATACATCTGTTTTGGTCAATTTATGTAGCTAAGATCTCATTGCCTACTCTCTATTTTTGTGGGCTTTTTTCTTGTCGTTATTTGATATGATATATTTCTTCAAGGTATAACGCGATTGGGTGACGTTGAGTATCACGATATACCTGTTTTGCGCATTCGTAGTAATCAGACACCTCTACTCAATTTCTTAGGGAAAGTAACTAACAGCTGACTTCAGACTGAGATATATTGCTAATATAGGCGTTAAATTTATTTACTGGTATTTCAATTTATGATATAGGGTGGATAGAATATTCACTTACCAATTTCCATTGCTCAATGGATTTTTCATTCGATTAAGTATAAACAAACTCGTATGGAAATACCTAAGATATTGATAAATGGGTCACTACTAGTTACATTCATCGTACTGAAACGTTCGCATGACTAATATCCTGCCAAAGGTCCTGAGGTCCATAGTTATCCTGCGCGTAAGTGGAGCTCGAGAAAGTCGAGGAAACCTGGACGAGGGTGCATCGGTCATATTTTTGCCCTCCGACCAGTCCTCGGATGTAGGTATACTTATTGGTGAGCAACACTTACCGTATTTCTTGACCTGATAATGGCATTTGACTGTGTCGATCGTGAAGTGTTATTGCAGTGTTTCACTGTGAAGGGATTACTGAGCAGGCACATAACTTTAATCAAGATTCTCCACTCGCGGCAATGACAGGGTTTATGGAAAGTTGTCATCAGAATTGACGACAACTAGTGATATTCACCAGGGATGCCCACTGTCATTGTTTCTATTCCACTCCGTCATAGACGTACTAACGGACATAATTTTAGGTAACTCTGACTTCTCAAGGATTGATCTAATCCCTATAGGTTATCTGGTTGACTTGCAGTATACAGATGGTACTGTCCTGCTGCGTGAAGACGCTGAAAAAATGCAGGGTTTTCTGAATGTGTCGAGTAGAAACCTAAGTATGTTGGGCAAATGTTTCGCATTGGTCTGTTTAAAGTACTTACAGTTTAATGACGGAGTGAAGTGGTGGAATTTTTTGACCACTTCTCTTACTTGGGGAGTTGTATCAGTCCGAATGAGGTGGTTGCTGACGGAACCCCAGCTCAGACGCGTAAGGCCTGTTTGGCATTCTCCAACTCGTGTGATCTGTTACACCAAGTGGCAAGATATCCGACTACCTATCAAAGCACGAGTATACTGCGCCCTAACGAATGGAAGGGATTACATGATGAGAGAAGTAATGTGGGCTTGAAATTACGTCACATGGAAATCTGTCTTTATTCATTTGTAAAGCGTAAATGGTGACGAAATATCTAGACATTAAACGATTTCATAGTAGGTTAGATTTTACCGGTTATACAGAAAATTAACCATTATCTTTGTGACACATTGACTACATCAACTTGAACTGCAAGTGGATTCTGTCTAAAAAATTTCACTTCAAATTGCCATATATTAAATTTTTAGAGTTACCAAAGTGATAATACTAAAGTATTTCTGGAAAAAAGAACTGTACGTTGACATAACTTTTCGCTTTCAGTAATTGCAACACAATGAAGTAGTATTTCTAACTGTCAAGTTAAATCGTGTTAGTCAGTTATCATCAGCATAAGACCTGACGCTATTTGTATAACTGTCTGACGTTCACAGTTTGTTTTGCACTCATGGTCGTTTATTTTATCCTATTATTAGGAAGACAAATAGGACGATCTCTTATAAACATTAGACAGTAAATTGTCTATAATTCACATATAGTACAAACTCCATTTCCTTCTTGCCAATCTGAATATTATTTATCATTATTATTTGTCCCTTGGGTTCTTAATGGAACATAGGGCTTCAGTAGCACGTCTCCAGTGAACTCTGTTCTCTGCAAACTTTTGGACCTGGCTTCACGACAGCCCACAACCTCTCATTTCGTCGTCACATGATCTCCTCCACGTCACCCTAGGCTTACGCGTCGTTTCCCCTCTGGGTTCCACTCGAGGGCCCGGCCTGGCGCTTAATGTTCCCAATCGGCCTTCTCAGTGTATGCCCAATCCAATCCATCTCCACTTTCTTCTACATATTTGTTGGGTGATGGGTTCTTGGTTGGTTCGTTCCCAGAGCTCCTTGTTGCTTATTCTTTCTGGCCATCTTATCTTCAGTAGCGAGCGTAAGCAGTTGTTGATGAATGTCTGTAGTTTATTGGAAATCCCTTTCGTAACGCGCCAAGTCTCTCAACCATACAGAAGCACTGACTTGACGTTGGTGTTGAAAATCCGGATCTTGTTCCACATGCTGAGTGCAGTGCAGAAGATCTCCACACTGGTTTCAGGCTAATGAACGCCTGTCTTGCTTTTCTGATCCTGGCTTTAACTTCCTCGTCTGTGCCACCGCCACCTGTAGTTGAAACAGTGCTGCCTAGATAGGTGAAAAAGGCTAGTTCCTTTAAGTTTCTCCCGTTGATGCTGATTTGAGCTTATTATTGCTGTTGGTGGTGTTGGTTGGATATCTTCATCACCTCTGTCTTCTCTATATTCACTTGAATTCCCGTCTTCGCTGCTCTGCTTCTTCTGCCAACTTGTTAGTTTTCGCCTGTAGATCTTCAAGTGCGTGTGACATTAGACACAAGTCATCAGCGAAATCCAGATCTTCTAGGTTCTTTCCGCGGTCCAGCGTATCCCCCTCTTCTCGCTCCTCACAATCAGGAATATCATGCGTGATAGTAGACGACAGCCTTGTTTCACTCCTGTCTTCACTTCAAAGGCATCACTGAGCTTCCCATTGTGAATTACTTGGCATGTGGCGTCTTCATATAGTTGTTGAGTGAGGCTGATAAAGGTTTGTGGCACTAAAACCGTAGTGTTGAAGCAGTTGCCTGACAAATTACTTCTCGGTCGACGCTGTCAAAGGCCTTTTCAAAGTCGATGAAGTTGAGGTAGAGAGTTGACTGCCATTCTATACTCTGTTCTATGATGATGCGTAGTTTAGCGTTGCAATTTGGTCCGCACATGATATGTACTTCCTGAATCCAGCCTGTTCCGGCAAAATAGAATTATAAACAGGGAATTGTTGTAGAGTGCAACACCATGTTAATTAGTGTTTTTTAGATACCGGCTAGTAACTAGTGAACTAGTTAACCAGGCGAGGTTCTGAATATTATACATATGAAGTATTATGATAAATTGGTTTAAAACATTGTTAGTGAAAACTTATTCACGCATCAAACTGAAAGCTCACTAAAAGTTATTTTTGCGTTAACTTTTAATTTGAAACAACAATTTTCGTGTCATTCAGTGTAGAGTCAAATAACATCAGTGATAAGTAAATAAGGATTTTTTTTTCCGAAAAAACTTAAATATAGTGGTTTACATAGCGGACTAAATTCACTTTTTGTATGACTTCTCTTCAATACCCTTTATATGAACGCTGATCATTCAGTCTGACAAATAAGGATATTAAAATTTTATAGTTGTAGTGTCTGTTTCAGTCAAGAAAGTATAGTGAGCCAAAAAGTTAATAGCCATTTTAATTTCAACAGCCAAATAAATCCACAAATTTAGATGTTATGGGATTATCAACATCACATATAAGAGCTCGCCTCGTTGGGCAATTCAGAGTGTGGACAAACTCACACCACATTAAGTTGTATGTGAGAAAGTGAATCCCTGACTATAGTTGCTCTGAGCTCTTAAGAGCATACGTGCTATACTAGTTGGGAAAGGGAAAGCATTAACTGATCTCATATAAGCTTGACCTTTCGTATTATTCTATTTACTTTAAATGATATTTTATTTGAAACTAATGTAACAGTATTACTGTATAGCTTGGCTCAATAGCTTCTCGCCAACCCTTCACTGAGTTGTGTACATCCTATTGTTCTGAAATAACTGCATGTTGGGTGCTAAAAAAAACACACTACTAAGTTTGCTCTTGGGTGAAAGAAATATAAGTTAATAAAGATGATCATAACCATGTGTAGGTACAAATGAACAAATTTATTCTAACGTAGTGGCCCAAACCTAAGATTTTGGCTTATTCGGGAACAGGTATTCTCATCTTATTGCTTTTAAATTTTCTCTGGACATACACTTACGAAATTAGCTGGTTGTCAATATAGCAGTAAAAAAGTGGTCAGTGATCACACAACTAAAAAGACCTAGATGTTTTGTGATCAGTGGGCACTCTGTAAGTTTCAGTTAACTGCATTACATTTTTTAGAAGCTATACCAGATAAATCCAGTCAGTGTCAGGAGTGTTACGCAATTACCTAGGCAGAAGTGGTTACTGGTTATTGATCCTGACGAAGAATGTGACTCATAAATCTGAATGGCAAACAGAATGACCAACGTAGAGCAGTAGCAGCTGTAAGAGCTAAAATAGAGGAATAGAAGTCATGAAGAGTAAAAGTCAATCGAATGAGTGATCCTGATAAAGAAAAGTGGAATAGATGCGAAATGGTGGAAAGAAAATGAGTGTGCCACCAATATAAGGAAAAATTTCCCTCAGAATAAAACCCAGATAAAACATTTTGTTATAACAAAGAATAAAAGATGTGATCGAAAGCTCTGGATATGCGAAGGGTCATAGGGCACAAGAAGTTAGCTGAAAATTTATCGTGTGGAGCCTGGAAGACCTAATTGTGTTCAACCCTGTTAAGCATCATGCACATGATTTCAGTCACAGTTCTCGCTTAGAATACTCCTTCTAATGGTATTTCCAGTCCATGTGTGAAGAAATTAGCGATGATAGGAAATATGACAGCTGGTGATAATGGTCTTCACTATCGTAAAATTCTCAAGGTTGCGGGAGTTTCTAAAGAGCATCACAACTAATTACTGACTATTGCATGTAGATATAAGGATACTGATCTATATATCAGATGTCAAAGGGTATTAAAAGATTGAGCTAAAAGAAAAAATACTGTGGCTTAATTACAGACTAGTTGTACAAATGCTGAAAATTCCAAATTTTATGGGCTTTGGACTGTGAAATCTTAGAGTTAGATTCTACCGAAGCCTCTTTGTATAAGACATGAAAAAATGGTTTACAAGATACGTTTCAGGATCTCGGGAAGTTGATCAACAAGTTATCTGTGATCATTGCGAGTTTTAGATACAGTTTGCTTCTAATTTCAACGTAGCGTTGGTATTCGGTCACATTTGTATAAATGTGATCAAAGGTTGTGAAGGTACTCTACCTTAGAAACCAAATTCGCAAAAGTTATAGAAATTCAGAGGTATATGATAGTGCGACTCATGAGAAGTCAGTTTCGAAGGATGTGCATATTACTTATATAATCTATTGAAGTTCAAACTACATTTATAAAACCATTCAAGGGAACCTTGAAAAATCCACTAAATGCAACGAATGCCTAATCTTGAGAAATTTCAGTGCATTTCATGAGAACTGGGCTAATATGTAGTTTTCCAGTTCCACTTATACGTTTTCTAATAACTGTTTGCTCCTGATAGTTATGGAAATTTTTTTGGTACACATGCTTCAATGCTTATCATTCTAATACCTAGTAATAATCTAAGTCTAATTAACTATCTTGCATCGGAATCCCTATCTAATGGGGTACACTGATCACACAGTGTTTTGTCTCAGCATCAAAGCGCGATGTGTGGTTTTAGATGACAATCGACTTTTTTCGGAACAGTTGGCGTAATGACAGTAAAGGAAGTGGAGTACATGTACGGAGTGGCCAAGTAACACTGATTCTTGAATTCATTGAAAATCGACCATATTCGAAGGAACGCTTTAGTTTGTCACAACTGCTTCTGTCCTTTGACTTCTTATCCATTAACTGTCTAAATGTTCTTTATAAAGACACTGAGAGGGCAACTAACCTAGTAGATGCAGACAATGGTAGTGGAATCTGATTATTTTGAATGTTTTAAAATTTCGTGGTTAAATATTTGGGTTCTCAAATTTACTGCGAATCGTAATCCCAAGGTTCAGAAAATTCGTTTCTTGATGACTAGACTTGCTTTCCAGACAAAAACCCTCATTACAATTAGATGAAGAACTCACAGAGATGATTTCATTTCAACATCACTTCTAGACAACAATCCAAAAGAATATAAAGAAGACAGTATATCCAGTGCTTTGTTCAGGTATTTTGGAATCGGCTTGGTGCATGCAAAATAAATGCTGTCAGGTGTTCCTTAAAAATGAAACCAATGCTCACCAAGAAGCAGCATCTGTTACAAATACTTCACAGCTTAATCTCCGGCAAATTCAGAGATGCAGACAGGCTGCATATTTGCATGTCATCACGGAGCAGCAGATAGTATATAATCTGTGGGATCTTGGTAAACTTAAGTAGATAACTGATTAGCAAACATTGCTATTTATTCTGAAATAGACTGATGTTGAATTTATATAAACGGAGCTAATAACATTGTTTGTTCGACCATCGTGTTTGACCATCGTTACCTTCGTAGTGTAGGCCGTATTCCGTGGTGTCACCGCACCACGTGAGTGATGCAGAAGTCAGGTGTAGAGTTTTAGGGAGAAGAGGTAAGTCAGTTGACGAGGTTATGAACCTTCATCGACTGAGATGGTTGGGACACGTACTACGTAGGCCTAGTCACCGATTGCCTCGTCACACAATGTTTATAAAGTAGGTTCAGGCTGGAAAAAAGAATGGGTCGGCCAGAAGAAAAACATGGCACCAATGTATGAAGTGTTGAGCCATGTGGGGCGATGCAAACTGGGTGGTCGGGGTCCACGGGACAGGAGGAATCAGTGGCTGGAGACTCTAGGTGATATGGCTGAGAACCAAAGTCAGTGGTGCAAATGTATACATACATTATCCTCATCTTAATGATGCTATACAGAATCTCACCACTTTCTCATTCTTCGTTTCTCTCTTTTCCTACTTTGCATTTCTTTGATTGAGTTTTCTTAACTTCATCTTGCACCTAACTGCCTTTTTCTTGATGTACTGATATGAGGTGTGGCAATTCGGACCGTTGCGCAGTGAGGCCTGGTTCTATGTTGATCTGGATGGATGATGATGATGGATGATTCATGCTTCGAGTCTTCAGTTAGTTCACAGAAGGGGAAAAACATATCGAAGCAGATCTAATGAACAGGGACTACAATACTCGAAGGCTTACATTACCTCACAAGGAGTGGCCGTGAAAGTTTGTTTTGATCTGTTCCTGTTGCCTAGCATAGGTTGATAGTATAACTAGTAATAAACTCTATTCGGAATACTTATTTTATAGGAATACCTAAGCGTTATCTCAGCCAATCTGTTTTCTTTCCTAAATCTCATAATCTAAGAGAATATAACTGGAAATTTCAAATATCTCCAACAAAGAGTTTAGGAATACCAGTCTCTCAAATGTTATGGTTGACGAACCAAAACAACCATATGTGAAAACTTTCATCCATACTTCATCCATTGGCGTTTGAAAGTGATATCTTACCATACAATGCAGCAAATCGACTCTACTCCGAATTGGCGGCTGCCGTGGCAGTCGGTTGATTAATCTACCTTAACATTTTACTTGCATTGACGAACGGAAGATGCTTACATTAATAGATCAAAACTGAACTGACCTTTCTCGGATATTCTTTTTGGTAGAGTCAAGTGCTTATTCTTGTTGTTGAAATCGTCCCGACAAATAACTTTCTTGTGATCACAGTTTTTTGCCTTTCTGACGCTAGTTACCATCTAAATGATGATAGCGAATCGATGAGAAATATACTTTATCTTTGGAAGTCTTATCAACCCCCATACGGCTAAAACATCAGAACTACTTAAGATGTCATTTCCAGACTGTACTGCTCTGAATTTTGAAAGGTCATCCACTCGTTGTCATAACGATCGTCCAATATACAAAATTCAAGCTTTATGTTGTAGAATTGATAAGCATTAGTTTCAATGTGCAGTTTCTCTCACACGACTGTTAATAAGCCTGTTGATTTCCTCACGCTTACCTCTAGATCTTGAGAAACGGTTTTAGATAATTGGTGGATTCCGATGCACCAGATCTACTCACTCACCGGGTGTAACTCTGGTTAGCCCTGAAAGGTGGTTATATTTTGGCTAATTTTAAGGAGAGAGGATTGTATGATTCGTCCTTGGATGGTGGTGCAGATGGGTCCCTCAAATACCGTTCCTTTAGACAATTTAGTCCAAGGGATAACTCACTGCTGTCTAAGAACAGCATATTCACAGGGGTGCTACGCAGCAGATTTCTTGGATACTTCATTATATAGGAGATAGTTAGCAGCTGACATACGCCCTTGATGATACCGAATACTCGTATAATCCCTACGATGGGCTAGCCCCACATATGAAGACCGACTTAAGGAGTTGAATCTCTTCACGTTGTCCTATTGCAGACAGACAGGAGACCTAATCGTGCTATATGGGATTCTGGGAAATGACCTTGGACCTGATCTATCTTCTCTTTTCCTTCCCACTAGGTCGGAACACCTCAGAGGACATAGTAAAAGGCTATAACATCGTAAAATGAGAGTAAAATAATCGTTATTTGTTTATTAAAGGCATGAAATCAGAAACATTCTTCTTGTCCTTCTTACTTTTTTTCCTCCTGCTGACATCATTGCAGAGGTTTACAGAACACCTTAGCAGTACCGAGCAATTTCATAGGTTTGAGGTTGTGTCTATTCGGGTAATTCAGCTGAATCGGTACATTTTCTTGAATGTCCATGAAAAAGTACCTTTACTCTTATCCACTCAGTAGGCGGGGACTCTAAGAAGCTGACCACTGACTAATATATTTCTGCTACCCTCAGTGAAGGCACTCCCACCCATTAATGGGAAACCACCACAGTCACACGTATCCACAAAGCAGGTTTTAGGCAGTACCCATCAAACTGCAGACCAACTGCTTGATCGTTGCAGCAGTTAAAATTCTAGAAAGAGCAACTAAGACATCCATGGCAGTCTACCTGAGGGAATGCAGTGCTGTCTTACTCACATCATGGCCTCCGCAGAAGTTTCTCTTGCTCGACGGGACTTCTCACAGCCAGAGAAAATTTAGTTAAGTCTAAGGGTCGATGGGATACCCGCAGCTGTCACTTTCATGAACGCAAGTAAGGCTGTTGACAAAGCATCACATCCCAGGCTGCGTGTATCCATCAGACGGTTGCTTTCACTCCACTCTACTAATTAGAACTGTCATGCAGTGAAACAACATTAGTTACTGGCAAACGTTCCAAACACAATCTATTGTCCACATTCATATCACCTAAATATCACGAAATCGCCGGTGGGTCTGTAGGCTGATGATCTGAAAATGTGTTAACAAATTAAACCCAGTGAGGACATGCTCCGACCTTGGACAGACCCAAATAGCTTCTTAACCTGGTCCTAAAAGTCGCTGATGCTTATCAGCGAAAGTAAGTGTGGTGATGCACATCAGGCCCACAGATGGCAATTCCGACGATATTGGTGGGGCTGTTTTGTCCAGTGCTGAACCACAGTGACCTAGGGGCCACAGTAAGTTATGGTTTCGAGACAGTGGCGTATTGCTGATCGATCACAGCCCGGAGTCTAGGCGCAGTTCGGGCACTAGGCCTAGCGATATTTGCATCAACCCACACGCATAGTTTGTTGGGTCCAAACTGGGAAACTGCGCGTGGGTGGAAAATGCTTGTCTCGGAAGTGACCGGAACCTTCTGAATAGAGTTCAGAAGACATCCACTCGTGTGATCTCTGCAAGGGATAGCCCGATCTACAAATGACGATCTAGGAGCTGAACCCCCTCTTTTTGCCACAACAGAAAGACGGGAGATCTAGCCATGCCATACATGATTTTCAAAAACCACTGTAGACCTGATCTGTCTACTTTCTATCTTCCCACTAATTCGGGACGTCTCGAAAGGCATGGCAAGTAAACAAGAAAGAAAAGGGTAAATGTTACCTAAGTAGAGTAATGTTTCTGGTGTTCAGTAACTGACTCCAGGACGTGACTCACAGAGGACGTTTCGCCCACGTCATCAATTGTCCTGCTCGAAAGAGGTCTGGACGAGGTTAGGGATTAGTTGGAAAGTGATCATTATGGACACATGACTCTGTTATCTCTTGGCACAAGTCTAACAGAACAACTGCTGTCAGTTTTTTTATGGAAACATCAAGTGGTTCTCCCCTCCCAGCGCCCTCCTCTTCTGTCATTGCCCCAACGTGAGCTGTTCATCTGCGAGAAATTACGCCGGCTACTTGGATCCTCTGAAGACTGCTTGAAGGTTGAGGACACATGTGTATTAAAACCGGTTTCGGTTGGCTGTCTGATAAACATTACCTAGAAATCAGCCCGTGGGTTGTAGCAACACTGACCAACATTCTGCGTGCGAAACGCTGCATATCATAGTCTTGAAAAATTGAGGCTTAGATGAACGGGGTGATTCATTTTCAAACGTTCATGAATTGCCCGGTTCACACTGATATTTCTCACTGCTGAGTTGCTTTCGGATTTTTCAAGCGCAGTGTTAGTAGGATCTCATTTTTTAACTAATCAGACAGGATCATGAGAAGTGGTTCCTGACATGGGGTCATGAACTAGCGAAGTGTACTGATGGGTAAGATAAGTACTCAGAAACTAATCGGAATGGTTTATATAATTCACTTGGCCATTGTTACCTGACCGGGACAATATGCAGAGAAGTGCGAGCGGTTTCGAACCACCCGGGTTATCTAGCGTTATCTCGTTAAGCACAGATTAAGTCGACAGCAAGAGTTGAAAAAGCCGAATCATTGTAACGCAGCCTGGGCACAACCTTCTTGTCCTGCGCCGACATTTAGAGAATCTGAAAGGTTTGATGGATGCACCTCAAAACCTATCTCATCTGGGTTGGGGTGAGGTCCAGGAAGAGTCTCCTGTAGTGCGTGAAGTATTCTTAAAAAGCGTACTCCAATGTCCCACAACGAATAGCACACACGGGATCTGTTCAATTGGCTGAAGTCATTGAAGCAGACGCAAAAGTATTGGTTGGATATTTCGTCAAAATTCTAACTGGGGAACTTCCGACAGACATAAGTCAACAGCACTACCTACTATATTTAAGCCTCTGCCCAGAAAAGGCGTGCCTCCGCATGGCTGAAAGGGCTTTGTGGCCGCAAGAAATCATTCAAGAGGCTGATATGTGTGACTATGGCTCCGGCTAACATTGAAACAGAGCAGTGAAGAAATCCATCACAGCTCAGCTGGAGAGAAAACCCTGCTGCCTAGGTCACATAGTAAATCTTATAGAAGTTTCTAATCGTTGAAGTGGTTTCTTAGAGTAATGGAAGGTTTACTTAACTTTAACTATGACGGAAGACTTGCGGATGTTATTTTCATAACAACTAGCAGGGAGAACGACAGGGGATCACAATCCTCTTTGTTCATCGAACTGGAAACTTTTCAAATCACTGACGTTTTTTTTCTAATGGTCTTTTGGCCCACGCTGCAGGCTCAAAAGTTCACCAACATTGATGCACCTTGAAAAACCCTGCAAACGAAGCATCAGCATTTGCAACAGATTTGTATCCGGTGACCATCTTAGTGTGTTAAAGCTTTAGCTTGCGGCTGTTCCTCTTGAGAGTCACGCAAGAGCTTAGCCCAAATGAACGCTGAAGTGGGGATCTGAAGTGACTAAAACGCTATTCCACACCATAAGACCACCTATCATTCGTCGATATTCCCAAGGAAATAGGCACTGTATCACCACGCGTCCTCGCGATCTCTTAAACTTGGGTTCACAAACCGATTCAATGCAGCACCTTAGGAGGGGCCCAAATGAATGTTTTCCTTTTGCAGCCAGCGAGAAGACGACAAACTTAAATTGTAACTGAGGCTACATGAAAGTGTTGAGGATGCGGTGGGGACACCTTCGGTCAAACTACCTTAAGTCTTCGCGGGGTTGCAAGTACCCGATTTGCGCGAAGTGCATTTTTCTCACTGTTTGAGTGAGGTTTAAAGTGATGAAGAAGTAAGGCCTCAACTCACCCTTCTGCCTATATTATCCTCAGTTCTATTCCATTGAGATTCAAAGCATGAGTGAAGGAATAATCTGTTTAGGGGTCTAACCAGAGAGGAGACTTTTTTCATAAGGCACAGAGGTGTGGAATTCATTCGCACTAGGAAAAGTGTCTTTCCGTAAGATTGTGGGCTTGCCGCTCAGCCGATGGACACTTACATCGGTGGTAGACATCCATGCCACTTTTTGGGACCTCCACAAGTACACAGTCGATGACGAAGTTTGTAAATTTTGATCATTCAAAACATCCGGGGCTTCGGCACCACAATAAGTTAGCCCGCTAGGATTCATCAAGTGTGAAGCTCTCATCTTGAAAAGGCGGAACAATGCTGCTACGCGGAAAAGGTTTTTAAACCCGAAGCAAACATTTTAGTGTACCTGGATCGACGTCGATGATTATCATTTCCGAAGGCTCAACCATAAGGATTCCTCGTTTTCTTTATTCGTTTGAAGGTGGGTTCGCGTCAGTTTTCCTCCAAAAAGCCCAGGGAAGCTTTTCTAAACCCAAAACCTCGAGAGCGTGGTCATGTATTACCCCGGGCTGCTTAAGATGGTGGGGCTTAAAGCGAGACAGAGTGAGCTGTAGTATATGTGATTCCGCCTTACATGAAAATCAATTGACGATATTTATATCCTGTTTATCACAGTTGGTTCCCTGGCCCACTCAGTTTTCACAGCCTTCCTACGGGCTATAGCGATGTAGCGTCATTCACTTCCCCAAAATCAATAGCCTAGGGTTTGACGACTT